ACTTCTTATAAGAGGATGATCACTTGGCAAAATAGCAGGAGTTCTGAACTCAGATGTATCTTCTCTTTGAAATATCGCTGTTTTAGTTCTGATGATCCCACAATCAATGAATGGATTAAGACTTAAAATCCGTTTATCTTCTATTCCATTAAAGGACTCATTTTGTATTAAACGAATCAAGATATTCTCTGCTTCATTTAACTCAGATACAGTAAGTTCATCCTTTTTCTTGTTTTGATGTTTACAGTTGTAAACAAAACGACACATCCACGCTACCAGTCTGATTGTCTTACGATAACTTGAGAATCTAGTAGCAACTATTTCACTAGCATTAAGATTTATTAAGGACGAAATAATCCTTTTCTTTTTCTCAAGAGCTATTTCTTCTTCATCAGCACTAAAATCTTCTTTTGGCCATTTTTCTGGTGATAAATATAGCCATTTAGGGCCTTCCCACCATCTAGATTTAATTAAATAAGAAGCAGAGCATCCTCTACTGGGCAAATCAGCAGGATTCAGTGATCCTGGTACGTGCCTCCAAGGATTCAATAGAAGTCAGTCGCTTTATTTCCTTAATTCTGTTGTGAACAAATACGTCCCATACTTCATTTCTCTGTATCCAAGCTAGCACAGTAGACGAATCTGTCCAAAAATAAATATCATCAGCTTGAAATTCAGGTATTATTATGCTGGATGCTAAACGTGCACATATTGTAGCTCCAAGAAGTTCCAATCGAGCTATTGTTGTCTTTTTCCTTCCGCTGGGTGCAACTCTCGCTTTAGCTTGCACCAAATGAACTTGAACCGAATCTCTTGTTTGTACTCGAACAAAGGCCACAGCTGAATATGCAAGTTTACTCGCATCACTGAAGAAATGAAGTGAGATATTTTCAATCTCACGATCACAGTTTAACCATCTTGGTATTCTCATTCTTTCCAGACACTGCAAATCATTCAACCATTTACAAAATTGTGATTTTGAATTTGAATCAACTTCTTGGTCCCAAGATAACTTAACTTCCCATAGGTGCTGAAGTAAAAGTTTCGGCACAAGAGTTACGGGGCAAGCTATTCCTAAAGGGTCGAATATTTTGTGTGTAGTAGCTAAAATCTCTCTTTTAGACAAAATTTCTGGTAGACTGTAGGTGATGTTAGTAATATTAAGGCAAAGGTAATCTCCACATCGTTCCCAAATCATTCCTAATACATTTGTGGTACTAGAGGAATTATCTGTTGGGTCACTATATTCCCAACCACGTAATTCTAGCTTTCTTGTAGCTAAAGTATCTGAAGCAACTTGTATGAATTGTTGCAATTCTAAATCATTTTTCACACTCGCTAAACAATTATCTACATAAAAGCTCTTCTTCAATTGCTCAATAATATCCACTTTATACTTTGGGTTTCCATTTAGTTGTTTCAAAGTGGATTCTAGAAGATGGTGAATTACAGAAACTAGCAAGAAAGGGCTGCTTGTAACTCCAAATACTACCCTACAATGCCTGTAATACTTCAGTTTTCCATCAGTTCTATACCATAAGAATCTTAGATAGTCTTTATCCTTAGGGTTGAGACTTATTTGTAAGAATGCTTTTCGTATATCTGCAGAAACTCCTATTCTGTTCATTCGGAATCTATGAAGAATTGAAGGAATCAGTTCGATAAGGTTCTGACCTTTTTCTAGACAATCATTGAGACTAGGGGATCCTTTTTGTTTGGCCGAGGCATCAAACACTGGCCTGATTCGTGTAGTACTGTTTTCTTTTACTACGTGTCGATGTGGTAGATAATGGCATGTTACATCAATTTCGCTTTTTGGTACTTCTTCTATGATGCCTTCTTGTTCCCATTCACTAAAAACTTCTCCATAAGCATCATAAAGTTTCTCAGCTTTTAGTCGTTTTACTGTAGAAGCTAATCTCTTTACAGCTAAGTCATAGTTATCTTTTAACGGTAGATGGTTATCAAGCCATGGCAAGCTGACTTGAAAACGCCCCTCTTCGTTCACCTTTACAGTAGACAAGAAATGATCTCTTGCTTCTTCTTGAAGTTCCAGTTTACTTTTCTTCTCTGATGGATCTAGAATTCCAAGTGAATCTAGAGACCATAGATCGGATATCAATATTTCCTTATTCAACATGGATGTGACGAGCAGTGCGGAATTGTCCGAGATCTCACGCATACCATTTTTCCCGAAAAGAGTCCAACCAAGTTTTGTTTCTATAGCAGCAAGGCCTGAAGTAAGCAATTTAAATCCTCTCCGGTCATCAACTTGCCTGCAATGTCAGCGCCAATAAGTATTTCTATTGGTCCATTACTATCGTCGCATACGGAATATATTGTTCTCTTTAAGCTCTTCGAATCCACTCGCCATTAGCAACTGGTGGTATACTTCCACAAATAATATCTTGGCTAAGAGCTTTGAAGTTACAATGATAAGTTCCATCCGTTTTAGACAAGAACACTGTAAAAACATCGTGGTTTATGACATCAGTACATGACCCGCCAAATAATGAATGGCTCAATCTTTCTTTAGATGTACTCTCAAATTTCATTTCATCTGCAGTGCTTTTTAAAATATAAGATCTCTGTGAAGCTGAATCGATAATAGCACGGGCCTGGCGCTTTCTATCTCGCCCTTTCAATGTAACCGTTAAAGTTTGCAAAAACACATTTGTTGTTCTCGCCAAATTGGCGAGGGTTTCATCTCGTTCAGGTACTGCATCCGTATTTTCATCCTTATTCATGCTAACAGGAACTGGAGATTTTGATTCAGCTTGGATATTTCTACATAAAAGTATGTGGTGTTTCTTCCCACAAATCACACACGATGTTCGTTTTTTTTTACATTTAGCTATTACATGTTTTCTGTCTAAACATAAAAAGCAACTGCGACTATTTAGAACTGCTTTTTGCCTTTCCTCAAACGGCATCTTTCTTGCTTTAACGCAATCACCAGATGCATGATTTCCAGCACAAAAAATACATCCAGTTGAATTTTGTTCAGATGTTGCTATTAGAGTAGAAGCAGAAGGTGTTTTGGAAAATTCTCCACGGTTTTTGAAACCAAAGTGTGTTTAGCATTCCCAGGCTTAGGTGTCTGATATTTAGTAAAGCACTGAGTAGCTATAGATACTCTCTCTTCACCTTCAATTTCATCGAGCAAAAATGAAAGCAAACCATCTAAATCCATGCGATGTGTTGACGCATTTTTCTCTTTTTGCTCACTACTTTCAGATTCTCTCTGACTGCGATTAATAACTCGGAATCTTTGCCATGCTCTTAATGTATCATCCGGCAATGACGATTCGACTAGAGGATATAACATCGCCGCATATTTATCTCTAGCAACACCCAGAACTTCTAACGCTCTTAGTTTCGATTCTAAGTTATCATAGAGTTTTCGTAATGAAAATTTCTGCTGAGAGTTTTTTAATAATACTAACGAAAGTAGATCTCTAACATAGACTTCTATAAGAAGGTCTTCTTTCCCAAAACGCGATTGCAGTTGTTCTAAAGCTTTACTATAACTTTCGCCACCGGGCGGAAAGCTTTTGATTAACTCTTCAGCAGATGACCCTTTTTCCATAGACTGCAATAAATATGCAAATTTATCATGATCATCTAAATTGGGATCATTATCGATCTTTTTAAACTGGCCCCAAAATCCTAACCAGCTTTTAATATTCCCATCAAAAATCGGAAGTTTAAGCTCGTTTCCCAAGGCGACTGTAGTTTTCTAAGCTTATACTAATGAACTTTCGAATGGATCCGGCTAATTTTTTTGCAGACTGTAAGAGCAATTTTATAAAAGTAAGCTTAAATTTCGATTATATCAAATAGAATTTCCGATATATATTTGTTTAATAGAAGGAAAGCGAAAGTATGTTTTGAAATCCGAAATCTTTTATCAATTTCACGCTGCTCGGCGGGGGAACGCCGCAGCGAGTGCATAATGAATTGGAAGTTGATCTGTCAGCACTATCCTTATCTTCAGCGCAGGTTGTTTTTATTTTATTTGGCTTATAATTCCTTACCAAATGTAGTATTTCATCTCGCTATGCTCCGTCTTTGATATGATTTAAAAACAAGTTCCTCGTCATTATAATTCGCTTCCGATAGCGAAGAAAAGGACAAAGGTTATGAAAAACGAAAAAATTCGATTGACAAATTAGTCGGTGTTCTTGACACAGCAATTATAGGAAGGACTTGAACAGGGAACTTTGTAAACTGAACAAGAAATTATGTCTGTTAATAAATTAAGAGAAAGTATTATCACATGAAACAAGAAAAACTTAAACAACTTACATTGAAAGAAATGTTTAATAAAGTAAAACAATAAATATTAAGCTTTTTTTTTTGCAAATTTTGATACCCTTTAGATCATAATTGTTCTTTTTATTTATAAATTACGGTTTCATATTTTTAATTTAGAATTTCTGCATGCCATCTACGAGATTTAAACTGATGATCTATATAAGCCGGAATCGCCGAAGTCCCGACGAGTCCGGATTAACGACTTTTGGACTGTATAACGAATAGTAGCATTTTGAGTTAAGCTTTCATTAACAACAGAACCGTTTTCCTTTTCAGCTAGAAGCGAAACTATTTGCTTTCTACTATTCTCCACTTATCATATACCATTCCACTCATCAAACCATTATTTATCACAGTTTCATCTTTTTCAATTTTAATCAATTCTCTCTATAAGTCTGTCTATTTCATCATAGGTTTTGCTTTGTCCTCAACTAATTTAAGTTTCGAAATTTTTCCGTCTAAAGATTCATTTCATTCTTCTCAAAATCATTTAAAGCTTTTGTAACAATCTCCTAAATTAGATCGTTTGCACTTCAAAACATCCATTATAAATAAACGAAAGAATTCTACTTACAGATAACATCCAGTCAAGCGGACGCCAAATATTCAAAAATTCTCACCAATTTGTCACCTCAAGAAAACTATTATTATTCGAAATAACTATCTATATCTCTTTAGTTATTAAGAACTCTACAATAATTAAATAGTTCTTTTATTCATACTCTCAAATGATGAAAACAAAGTTACACTTAACTCTCTAAAAAGAACAACATCATTGTATGTTGCCATTCTCTGAAACATAAACTGTTACAAAACATAGATAATAATAATGTAAATAAAAAAACCTATAGAGTAAAGAAAACGATTACGTCTGCTTGAAGCTCGTGCAATATTACTCAGAAGCTGCAGTTAGAAAGAATATAAACAAAAATATTAGAGTCAAAATATTGTTCACTCAGTGCAGGATTTGTATACAAGCTATAGCTTAGTGCCTCCACATTCTTGGGGGGGGGCCAAAAATTGCAATATTGTATAAATATAGTATAATAGACTTATAAAGGGCCCCATATCTCAAATAGCTTAGGCCCTTCTCAAGTCTGACTCTGTGTATACTTATGTAAGTTTGTGATTATCTAGATTATTATGAAAAATTGAGGAAAATTAAATCTTATTTGTATCATCATCATTCCCTGTTAATGCATCCTGCTTACCAGACATCCTAGTTTGATGAGATAGTCCCTACATCCCGGGTAGTTTGTCATTTTATCCTGGTTGTTTGGTAAAATTTACAAGTAAAAATAGTGTAGCCTCAAGTAGAATGACAAAATACCCTTTCTGGTACACTCATTGTTGCCAATATAAATATTTTGTGTCTAGATTTAAGTACTTTTAATGTTGCCTAGATGTTTTCCTTCAAAATAATAGCATGTGGCCTAATGAATTTATAAGTTTTATTTCTTCAGAAAATTTATAACAGCATGTAGTCTTATCAGATCTAGATATTTTTAAACTTTTTTATTTTAACCCTCTGAGAAGTGGTGCAGAATTTTAGATCCATTATGAAGACTGGTATTTAAACAGCATTTATTAATTGAGTTTGTATAATTACTTATTTTAGCCTGTATTTTCATAAACTTGCATTCATTAAGATGATATTTTCATTATAAAAAAAAGTAAGAAAGCAAAATATCTTAAATTATAGGCTAATATATGCCAAGTAGTAAAACTTCTGATGACTGGATAAAGCTGGTCATAATGCTCAGAGGGTTAATGTAAGTTCATGTAAGTTCCAGTTGGCAAAACTGGAACTTACGTTGTTCAAGTCATTGTTGCACATGTCTTATCTTAATTGAGGTCAAATTGCAAGCTGGCATTTTCAGTTATTTTTTACTGTACATTAATTTAATCTCTAAAGTTAAAAAAAAAAAAAAAAAAAAAAAAACTGTGTTTACCAGTGAAGTGGGGAAAAAATTATCCTTTTTTGAAAAAAATTTGTATGAAAAAATGAAAATGCAAATTATGCTTTTCAGGATTTTCAGTATCTCATGGTCTGCATTTGGATATTACAAACCACTTGAAATGTGGGAAATATAAGGAAAGCCTAGTAGCAGCAGGAACTACCTTAAATGTAGTATTATCTTTAAAGGTACCAATTTAAGTGACAAAGAATTCTTAATACTGGTAGCTAGAGAAGCAACTTTTGCATTTCATGTTGCTGTTCACAATCTTGTCTTTAAGTCAGCTGGTTATTCATCTAAATTGATTTCAAAGCTCTTTGAAACAAAATGATAAATGCTAATAACTTTTAAATAATAAGATATGTTCAGTTATTAAAATTTCTTTTTACTCGTTGTTTTTTGTTAATAACATCTTTATTTAGTCTTTTCAGTCATAGATATGTATCCTTGTAGGCTTTATTTTCTAGTTGGTTTTTTTCAAAATTGCTTCAGTTTGAGCAAAAAGACTATAGTAAGCACATTTTTTAAAATTTATTAAAATGTATATAATAAATTTTAAAAAATGTGTTCTTTCAGATGTGGCATATATTGACCTGTTGTTATTGCAAATACTGTGTTTTTTAAGTTTAATTAATTTAGCATGACTTTAAACTAAATTTCTAAAGCACTTTTTTACATAACAAAATGAAAATAGTTTTATTGTTATCTGCTTTCTATATTAATTTTTGCGTTGCAGATTGGAGAACCTGAAAAGGCTGCCTCTTGTGCATATACTTTTCTGATTCATAATCCTGGCCATGAAGTTATGCAGACTAATCTCCAGTATTATATGACCCTGCCTAATATCAACGTTGAAAAAATAAAGTATTTAGAGCCAAAGGATTACCAGGTCAAAATTTTAACTAATGTGTCATAATTTCATATAATGATTATATTTATTTAAATGCATAAAGTTAATTTAGACAAACATGAAACTTGTTTATAAGTTGTGTAACTGAAAATTTAATGAAAATGTTTTAATAGTAAATTAAGAGGAGTGGCAGTAATATATATATATATTTTATTTTGTATCGTTGCTACTGAGTATTCAAGTTTGGTATTTCAAGCTGAGCATCAGAAGGACATTTACATAAAAATACTATGAGTAGAAAATTATATTGAATGTATATTCTCAAATTTTATGAATAGAGATTAATCAAGGTTAGAGAGTCTTATCTTGTACTTTGATTTGCTGCAATCACATTTTCTGGTTGCTATCCAATTTAAGAATGTGATCTATTGGTGTGTGTAATCCGAGTATCAATTGATTGAGATAAGTTAATTTGCTCCAGATGAGCTTAAAATTTTAATAAGAAGCAACTTGCATTAAAAATTTATGCAATAAGCAGTAGTGCTATACATCTGTATCATTCAGAGTCCCAAGGCATCTCTGACCTGAAAGGATAAATAAAAATGGGGCTGTATATCTCCTAAGATGTTGTTGTTTCTTAGAAAACCTTTAAAATTTATCTATTATTATTTCAGTACTTACACCATATTCTGTTTAATAATATTGCCAGTATTGAGCATAACATAAACAAATAAGATAACTTTCTTTTTGCATTTGGGGTGAGGAAGGAGGAAATGAAAAGAAGTTCAATTTAAAATGGGTACTTGCGGATCCCTGAGGTAGCCATATTAAATTGCTCACAGTGGTAAACCTTAAAAGCTTATGATATAATAACCATAATAACCTTTTTTTTTTTTTTTTTTTTTAAAGTGCTTAATTTTTTGTCTTAGTTTCTCATGTTTGAACTTCTATTATAATGATACTTCTTTTATTTCGATTGGAAAAGGTGCTGCTCTGTTCTTCCAAGAAAAGGAAATTCTGTTATGCACTGTGCTTTGTGAGAAGGATCATGAAATGAAGCTTTATGATGAAGTTACATGGCATTTTATACTTAGATCATGCTTACTGCAGCAGAGTATCTGCAATAGAAGCTGGACCTGTCCCCTAAAAAATTCACTGCATTATGACTTATTTATTGTTTATCGGAAGAAATGTTACCAATCAGGTTGTGTGAGAAGCTACTAAATATTTGTAATAATACAATCATTGTTGGGAATTGAATTGTGAGAAAAGTTTATTCGAACATTTAGTTAACTATGCTAAAGGCTGAATTGGGTGGCCTATTAAAATTCTGCAGTAGAGTCTCTAGTTATATGTATACAGAAAAAGAAAATGCCAGAAAAATCTTACCTAAGTAATGGATATTTGGAGGCATGTATTGTAAAAGAGGAGAGTAATTTCAAGTTCCTAACAAGGATACTTTTGTAAAATATGTCACCTGGAGTTTTATCTTACTAAATTTATGCAGCAAACATATAAGAAATGAGAAGATTATTTCAGAGCTATTCTTATGGCAGTTGCAGAATTATGACTGCTAGAAATTTCTTACATTTGGGTTGGTAGTATTTTGGGGAACCGATTCTCCAAAAAAATGTGAAAGTATCTTGTTTGATTGTAGTTGATAAGAACAAAATTTCGAGTCTTTTTTTTTTTTAAATATTTAATGGTTGTGTAAATATTTTTATATATTTTTTAAAACTTTATATTATTTCTTCAAGGTATTGTGAATATTTATTTAAGAAAATCTGATGTGGGCACCACATGACTTCCTTGTATGCAATGCTAAATTATACGCATTTTTTTGCTGCATTTCATTTAAACTTATTTCCTCAAATAGATTTCTCATTCAATTAATTCAGATGCGTCAAGGCAAAAATACATAAAACCTTAAAATATCTTTATTAAAAATTGAAAAATATAGAAAAATATAAAGCAAATATAGTTAAAACAATGAGAAAATTTTTTTGCGATTAAAAGTAGTGTTTCTATCCAAGAACAAGCAATTCGGCCAGCGGACAAGAAGGCAGATTTTTTGATGCACAAAACTGAAAGTTTACTTTTGGTTCCATTTGGCAAAAAGACACTGCAGGTGCAAAAACTGACTTAATTCACGAATCTACTAAGTTTCAAATGTAAACAAATATGGCTGCTATGGTAAAAAAAAAGTTAGGTTTAGATGCACTTAAACAATTTTTAAATTGTTGATAGTTCTACAGCTATTGCTTGCAGATTAACTAAACCTTAACCAGAAAATAAGAGCAGCATAATTCAATAATTTTTTAAAGCAAACAAAAGTGCACAATTTACCAACATAAAAGAATAAAAAAAAAACTGTGCTTACGGAGCCAAGTAACAAAGTGGGTATATATATATATATATATATATTAATAATATATCAAGCAAGGTAGTAATTACAATTTTGAAAAACCAATTTGGTCTAGAAAACATCTTGCACAATATGCTGCAAAATAAGTAAAATATAAAAATTGTAGTAAGCTCGCCTAAAAGTTACCAGGAGCTGTTGCTCCAAAAAGTTCAACACATTTTAAAAAAATTAATACATATGAAAATCAAACCATTAAACATGTAAAACATTAAAAAAACAGAATCAGATAAAAAAAGTAAGCGGAAAATGGTAAATTAGCCTAACTCGACTTCCAAACTGGCTTTTCAAGGGAAATTTAATTTGTTTGAACGTCGAATCAAGCCAACCCCATTACGCATTTCGCCGAAACAGACAATTGAAACTTTTCCATTACAAAATTTTTTTAATTTAGACAAAGTGTCTTGGAAAATTTTAATAGTCTCAATTCTCTGTTCCAATTTCCCGACGCGTCCGCACAAAATGACACATTAAGGTGTTAAAATATGTTAAACTATACCGAAACATCTTAAATCTAGACTAAAATCAAAATAAATAGCGGTCTGCTATTAGTCCTAAATATACAAAAAACATACAGGCTGGGCCTGCAAGCTTAAAGATTAACAATTTTATATATTTTAGAAATCTGTAATTAAAATAAAAGAAAATTAAGATGATAACTAACAAAGTGGGTCTTGCTAAGACCAAGAAAAAGTTGTAACAAAAGAAACAAAAAACTGACCTGTGGTGATGCAGAGCTCTCCCTCTTGAAACTAGTTGAAAAGTGGTTGTAATTCCCTTCTGTGTTCTTCAGTCGTATGACGTATGTAGGGGGGAGTGAAGTTCTGTGGGCATTAGCCAATACAAAGAGATTGTCCGTTATCTGCAACTCGTCTCCTATTATCGAAGGGGGTCGGAAAACTCGGAAAAACGTGAAAAGATTTCAAAAATGGTGCCTGACATGTAGTTGGAAGGAAAAAAATTTTGTCTGAAAGTGAAAATGGCTAATTCAGCTAAAACTACGAAAACTTGGCCACAAAAGCAAGAGTAAAAGAAAAAAACAGTCATTTGTTAAAAAAGTCGTAATTCTTCAAGCTAGCGGGCGATCAAGCTACTATGAAAAACTAAAAGGCCCGATTTGTTAATAAAAGCAGTAAAATTGGCCATTATAGAAATTTAAAACTATTTACACAATAGTATTTAAAAGTAAAGTGCCAAAATTTTGGAGGAAAGAGAATGAATAAACAAGAATTATCTGTACATTTTTACAGGGAAAAGACGGAGCAGTGTCGATGCGTAATGGCTATACAGGATAGATCGTAGATCCATATTGAAGAGGAAGAATTCTGATTTCATAGTATGCTAACATGTTGAGTTTGCAACATCTAAAAAACTAGGCAGTCAATTCAGGTTTAATTGCATTTTTATTTGCAACTGACTACAGTTCATCTAGCACTCCAGCCATGCTTATTCAAGAAAATTTACATTTTTTATATTATTGCAAAAGCAAAATTACATACAAGCTCTGCATAGACAGGCTGCATAACTATGCACTTTAGATAAAATACGTAGTTATGCAATATGGAAGCACATGAAGATAAAAGTTTTGGTTTGAGTTAAAAGTTTCAGTTCCCAGTTATTGCGTCATCAGCGCTGCGCATGCCATGCAAAATCGAAATTATGATTTTTAGAACAGAGAAGGAGAATTAAAAGGGTACCGTTAGTTTAAATTATAATTTTGATTCATATATTTTTTAATCTTACATATATATATATACTTTTGGTGCAGCTAATTGCAACCAAAATGGGAGATGCACAGCTACATGTTATAGCAGCCCTATATACAAAATTTCAGCATTCTGAAACTACTCATTTTTGAGTTAATGCGAGAAACATATACACATATGTATGTACGTACAGACGTCATAAAAAAATCTCATCTGAATCCATTTCAAATCCTTTTTGCAACCCATTTTGGGAAAAAGAATCTTCTATTCTGTCTTTACATGCAGATGTCGCACAAAAAACATCATTAAATTGCATTCAATAGTGGTCAGAATGGATATTTTCATTGAAATATGATACCCAAAAATTTTCACGATTACAATTCTTCCTTTACTTTGTACAAGGAAGTAAAATGTAACTTTAAAATTGTTTTCTTTGGTTTACATTTTTATAGCCAGAATGTTGTTGTAATGTGCATATTGTCAGAATTTCTTCTTAGAGAAGGATAGTGTAATATAACATAATGTTCCAAAAGTTTTGTTAGTCTAAAGACATTTTTAGAATAAAAACCTTAGCTCATAAAAAAATGTATATGTCAGTATGTCATTTGTTAAGCATTTACAGATTTCCATTAAACCATGAATGTAATCAATGACAGTAAACAAAGTGGTTGTATTTCTTGTTAAAAGAAATGCTGATGTTAAATAATTGTACTTTTAAGTCTTAAAAGTTAACTAACTTTTCTGTTTTGTCAGTAGATTATTTATTGCTTGTAATTTTATAATGTGCAAATTTCTACATTTTTGCATTTATTTATTTATATATGCTTATAGAATATTCCAAAATTATGTTATTTTAATAGGATCTGTTTCTGAAAGGTGCTCAGCTCTATTCAGAAAGTAAATTTATTGAGTCTATTGAAGTAATGGAGTTATCTTTAAAAGAATATTTATCAGCAGAAGAAGATTGTCGATTTCAGTGTGAAGGCCCTATGCTTGAATCTTCCAAAGAAGAACTCTTTGTTGCTATCACTAGTATGTGTTCTTCATTTATAAATAGATTATTGCAACAAAAAAATTAATTATTATGACAGTTATACATATATCAATGTATTGAGGGGTATTTAACCCCTTCATTACAGGTGTATCATATATGCATCAGCAGTAAATCCTCTTACACGATGGCATGGCACGTAGTGCAACTCAACTTGGGGAGACGGTGTGTTGCTCCAGTAGTACGTTCTCACAAGACGGACTATTTCATGTCGCTAAGCCTAACTTTAAAAAAAATTCTTAAAAGTTTCAGATTTTAAATTACATCCGAAAGGGTGTTCTTTTAACATTTTGTGTGTTACCTTTATTTACAAGGTGATTAAAATTAAAACACCTCTACTCTGAGCTGTCTGTACATCGAACTACTGAATGTTAAGGCCCCAAAATTGTTGAACATACTATACACCGTGAAGATGACATCCGTCCTAGTTCTTGCCATATGGAATTGAATGTCATTTCTGCAGAAATCAGTTACATTGGCATACAAGGCCTGTTGTTCAGTATATATTATTTTCTTTTGTTACAAGATATTTTGAATAGCACAGTATTACATATCATTTCACTTATGTATAGTATCTTCACAGCACATTTCACATATATATAGTATTGATTTATGTACTCTAACATAAATCAATACTATATAATTGACTATATATACGTGAAATTATATATATAAGTGAATACTATATATAAGTGAAATTGTATTGTATGTATACACATATATGCATTTGGCAGTGCATTAAATGAATACTACATTTGGTGTATAAACAAGTCAAATGTGATACATTTAAATGATGACAATCAATGTGGAAGAAATAATTTTACACTACAGAAATATGTAGACATTATGCAACATTGTTATTGGTATTTCATGTGTTAGGTTGGCATATTTACTATATTGGAATGAACACTTATATTACGAAAGTTAGATAACTGTATGAACAATGTATTACACCGGATGAGTACAAATATTTGTATATGTCAAGAAGTTGATTTGATGGAACAAAGACTTTTATAACAAAAGAGTTAAATAACTACATATATATATAAAAAAAGATAAATAATATGTATATCAAAAAATTAAATACTTATTTTACAGGAGCTAAAACAGTAATTTAGTTATTTGGGGAATGACTGTGATGAGAGCTGTTGCAGATTACTGCGTTTTTGCAGCGCAGTAGGTAGGGATAGCATGTAGTTTCGATAGAGCAACATTGTTATTTTGAATATTATTTCACCAGGCTGCGTGAAACATGGGTGCTGGTTTTTTTTTTTAGATGAAACTTTGCTGTCAAGCGGCATTCAAAGTAATAGTGGTCTGGACTGCCCACTTTCCCCTACTCACAGATGTCTGTGTTGGATAGACCAAATCTATGCAGATAGGCTTTGTACAGTCCATGTCCTGTTAGGAAATGTGACATGCTGCCAGTTTTGCTCTGCAGATCCATGCTTACACTTGGGAGTATTGCATGTGTACGTCAACCCGTTGCATTGAACATACTATTCAAGACATTGGGAAATGGATTACGTGAAAAAAAAAAATAGTTTCAGAAGCACCAATAGGTGGCGCTGTGCAACAGAAAATATGCTGAAAAGGCACAAAATAAACAGACATGAGGTATGGAAATATTCCTTTTTAATTTCTATTGTTGATATGAATAAAAAGAAACAAAATAGTTAAGAAACTTAAACTGTCATTGTAAATGCAATTTCGCTCTCCGGCCATCTCATTCTCCAGATCTTAATCCATGTGATTTTTGGCTTTGGGGTTACTTAAAAAATCTTGATTATCGACGGCATCTGGTAACTTTGGCAGATTGAAAGACAGTATCACTCTGCATGTGAGAACCATCTCAATCGACCAATTACGATCCGCAGTTGAACAAACTGTCCACAAACTGCAGATTTTACATCTTGAAGAAGGAAGCCATATTGAGCAGCTTCCCTTGCATCGATAAGGTCTTTATGATATGAATGTTTGGTACGTTCAAATAAAGTGTGTTAGAAAGTCTATATTTTGTCTTTTCAGCATACGTTCTGTTGTACAGCACCACCTATCGGTGTTTCCGGAACTAATTTTTTTCACGTAATCTTTTGTCCCATGTCTTGAATTTGTATGCTTAACAATTTTGGAGCCTTTACACTCATTAGGCCGATGTGTAGCTCAGAATAGGGGTGTTTTAACATATTAAAGGCGGGGGATCTTGACGAAAGTACGCTATGTGACTACTTTGCCTCGTTTTTCGTCCTAGAGCGGGCAATATTTTGTATAATAATAAAAAAATTTATTTAAACTCTTAAAATTACAAGAAATATTAAAAAGGAACTAAACACTAATTACAAAAAATGTTTTAAAGTACATATTTATTAGAAGAATCTAGTATTTTTTATGAGTGTGATAATGTTGATAACACTCGCCACGGTGAAGAGGTGCATTGCAAAACTCGCATTTGAAGCAAGTCAACTTTCTTTTTTTATGTGCCCCACAAACTACGCAGTTTCGTTGGGCATATAGCTTTTTGCCTTTATTTTCTATCCGAATTAATTTGTGCTTTTTAATGTCTAGCGAAAAACATCAAGGCAGATCAATTTTATGTCATGGAGTCCATGGTGTTGAGTTTGATGTACCAGGTTGTGGCTCTTCAGTGTCCATCAAATCATCTGCATATATATCTTTATTTTCACGTGAAACCATATTGAAAGATTTCAAAATTTACTGTAAGTAGAATTTGAGCAAGCGAACAGCTTCAAACCGCAAAACATACTAAATACCAATGTAAAGTGGCGCATGGTTTGTGCATTAGGGTTGCAAACTGCATTGCACAATCCATGCGCAAGCTACAGTCGAGATAAATCGTAGTACTACGACTCCCGCCTTTTAAGCTACAGTTGAGATAAATCATAGTGCTATGACGCCCACCTTTATGTGTTAATATTAACCACTTTGTATTAAATATGTTCTTTGCACTTAAACCATAAAATTCAGTTCAACAGCAATGTTGCAAAATAATTTTTAAAGGAGCATATCTTTAGAACTTCCGATACACAGTTCCGCATGCTGGAGATAAAAAGGATTTTTCTCCCTGTAGAATGTTGCCATTGCTCGCTTTTAAATCCTTGAGTTTGTTAAACAAAAATTTGTTAAAGTTTTACAAAATATGAAATAGATAATAAAACAAATTCAAAATTTCAAATTTGGGCTTTCAGATGCCCATATTCGCAGTAGGATTACGTCATTCAAAATTGAATGGCTCTAGGTACCGTTGTTTTATCACAATGCGAGTAACATACACACATTTATGCAGATTCTTCATTATTTAATTTTTTCAAATATAATGCAGGACTCTAACATCTGGTGACAACAATTTGAAAAGTGATACGCCGTTTATAGTGATTCGATGCAAAATTGCAAAACGAAAACAATAGTCCTTCAGGGACAAAGAAAGCCCTTTTAGACTAAAAAATCTGAAAGGTTTCAGATTTTAAATTATGTCCAAAGGGGCATTTTTTAACGTTTTGTGTGTTACCTTTTTTGTTAAATATGATGTTTTTTGCACTTAAACCGTAAAATTCAGTTCAACAGCAATGTCGTAAAATAATTTTAAAATGGGCATATCTTCAGAATTTTCGATACACAGTTCCGCGCGTTGGAGATAAAAATGTTCCCCCACCCATAGAGTGTTGCCATTGCTCGCTTTTAAATCATCGAGTTTGTTAATCAAATTCCCAAATTTCAAATTTGGGTTTTCAGATGCCCATATTCGCAGTAGGATTATGTCATTCAAAATTGGATGGCTCTAGGTACCATTGTTTTATCACAATGTGAGAAACATACATACATTTATGCAGATTCTTTATTATTTAATTTCTTCAAATATAATACAGGGCAATAAGATTAGTGGCAACGATTTGAAAAGTGCTACAGCCTTTTAAAGTTTATAGCACAAAACAAAAACAATAGTCCTTCAGAGAGAAAGCCCCTTTGGGCTAAAAATATTTTTTTATTAACTGTTTTGATTTTTTCTGTAGTGGTATCTAACACTAATATAATCATAAATACAAAATATCAAGATAGGCTGAAAAATTTCAATTAAAATTTGAATGCAAAATAAAATATTTGACTCATGATAATGAAATTTAAAAAAATTTACTTAAATCTGTGACTTAGCATACCTGAAAATATTAAAATATATAATCAAATATTTTAGCGTAAATGATTCAGAAAGGAGACAGTGTGTTATAATCTAGTTGCTGTCATTTCATTAGTTATGAAAAGCATTTTTAGGTCAAACCTTTTAGTTATTCCATCCCAGCAGAATAATTAATCCTAGGTATTTTAGGCACATCTAGAGGAGTATGTTGATTTTGGATGAAGACGGATTTTCACTTATCTTTTGTTCATAGAAATTGTTAGTTTCTTTAACTATTATGTTCACCAGGTTATCAAAAAAATGATAAAAAAATCAATTTCATTTTCATAATTTTGAGTTAAGGTTACTTCTACAATTCCTGTAAATTCATAAGGCTTTGATTACTTGACAGATCAAGTTCATGGTAGTGTAGCCACTTTTTTGCTGTATTGTGAGGTGAAAGCGAAACAAACTTCGAATTCAGTCTCGGAAAATTTCGGTGTCAAAATCGCTATTCTCACTTAAATCGAGTTTTCAGTGTGAAAATAGTCACTCATGGGCTTTACAATTCGAATATACCCTTCTTTTATTAGAAACTTCTTTCTTTTAGACATTGTACTATTAGTTTAACTCTATTACCCAGTGCAAAAAAATTAAATCTGCTATCTAAAGAAGATGTAAGCTGAATACAAACCAGAGTTCCTAAAGCCACAGCTCCACTCCCAATCTTCTTATATGAAAAAAACAAATTTGAAGCATCCGAAACTGTTCAATGTTTATATCACGTGAAGCAAACTGCAGATCAACTAGGTTTTGTGAATATCATCTAAGTGAATGTACAGAATCAGAAAGTACTTCTCGACACAAGGTCTACTATGTATATGTTCAAATAAGCTAACTGTAGTGGACACGGAGTGCCATCTAGTGATTTTAAAAAATTCTAAAAGAATGTGTCTGTTTGAGAATGCATATATGCAACATCCATCTGCAAGATCAATGTAAGTGGAGATGCACCACTGCATCACCTGGCTGCTAGCGAGATTTAGAACTAAGGCATGTATAACACACCTGTCTCCAGAGAGAGTTCAGCAACTTTGCCGTCACGAAGTTCTAAGCCTAAGTATGGTATGTGGAATAACAAAACTCGCACTGATACATTATTCTCTAAAGATGCACACATAGCAGTTGTTATTATTTGATTTTTGAAAGGCTGCCCCATGTTATCAGACAATAATGTCTCTTTTATTGAAAATATCAAATGTCATTTCATCATTCAGTTTTTGACTTGAAAAGGCATGACATCAGCAAATATTTATGAACATTTCCCCAATTTCTTCTCTATCAGTCTTGGTTTGGCTTTCACCAAGATGAGATTAACATTTATAATTCTTTGTGTTATTTCCTTTCAATGAGTTCCACTGAGCTCCATATCCTTGATACCCTAAGTTACCCTAAGTGTGTGCTTATTTTGCCTGGTGGTTAATGTGGCTTTTATATAAAAGTTCACAACCAATATTTGCTTAAATTTTGATTGCCTGATGTTTATTTTGAATCACTTTTTCATTTTTATTGCTTCATTGCATATGTAGAATTTCATCACAATCAAATAAGTATTCTAGGTATGTAGATTTTTTATAATATCTTCCTTGGTCTTTGATAAAAAATCATAAGAAAACTTTTATTCTCTTATTTTCCTCCCCCCTCTCAAAAAATATTGTAAATTCATCTAATTTTATACGCTTTGAATAAATTCAAATTGTAATCAAGAGACTTATTGCAGAATTGCAGGAACAAGATATTTGCCCACAAAAATCATAAAATAAATTTAATATTTAAATGGAATTAAGATATATATGATAATTTGTATGAACACATTTTGCAAAGAATCAAACTAAAGCAGAGGAAAATTGTTTTGTATGTTCTTTTGATTAAAGCAGAATTAATTTGCATAGTTATAATTTTTTAAATAATTCTTATATTTATTTCTATTGGCAGTCCACCAAAACTTGTTATCTAAATTATTGTAGATGTTATACATATAAGGATTTTATGTGCAATAGATTTTTAATGTATGTTTGTGCATTAAATATTTTTTTTTTTTTTTTTTTTTTTAAGATCATTTTACATATGCTTTGCGATGTAATTTGAATTGCCCTAGAAAACTTGCGTACATGTATGGACATGTACATGAGGATTTACTAGCAAGCCATTATCACTATCTACAGTTCAGCTATTATAAAAGTGAGTAATATTTATTATGATGTAAACTTTTTTGCTATGGAGCTTTTTAAGTCCAAAACTATCTATTTATATAATACACTTTAAATTTATATAATATAAATTTATTATTAATATAATAATTATTATTTAATATATTATTTTTACAATTTGTTTAATGTAATGTGTACTTTTAATCTTGTATTATATCAAGAGATGGCTGTTGTTTGAAACAGAAGATCTGATTAGCAATTACATGTGTAGTGTACCAACTTTGTAGTTAATAACTAGTAATATTCTGCTTCCCTTCCCATTAATATCAGGCAATAAAACTCTGTTTAAAAAAATTGAAGTTTTCTTTTCTTGTAAAATATATTTTGCTTGCTGCAGAAAATTAATTTGAAATATTCTGAAAATTTAGATGGAAGAAACTGGAACTTTAAAATTAAATAAAATTCAATTTTACATCATTATTGATTTTATAGAAACAATCTTTCTCTTCGAAAGAAATGATGAAGATAACTCTTTCTCAAAGAACAGATATATTCTGCTGAGAATATGCAGAATATTATTGTGTTTTTCTTTTCTGACACCATTTGTTATGATATTTTCTTCCTTCACGTTCGTACAGGGTTCATATGGATTGAGTGAATAATGACGACACTACTCGATGAAGTATCGAAATATATTTTATTAGCCAGTATTGTCAGGACAGCTCCAAAACACGTTTTACAGTCATCGATGAACTATAAACACATTGACACGGTCAGCGACACAGCCTTCAGGTTATCAGGCTGTTACGGTGGAGGTAGCTTCACTGAAAAGCACCAAAGTACAGCTTCCGTCTCTGCTCGGTCGTTCTCGTAACTCCACGTACTCTCGAGACGCTCCACGCTACAACTCGCGATGCACTTGACGACACACAGAGCATGGCTCCCGACTCTTCGGATTAGTCTTTCCCGGAGTTCAACATGCTCTCTCAATGATTCACTAACCGCGATACACTAAGAGACTCCTTTGGTGAACTCATCAACCCACTTGGCACTCGCTGTCCGGCTGTCAACTCGATCAACTCTGCAGGCATTGACTCGCTAGACGAGACACCAACTCGATACTGACTATCTCGCACTCTATGAGGCACACTCTGACTGCGGGCCAGCAGGGTTTATATAGCTTTCGGCTTGTGTTCGAGAACATTCTGGGCAGTAAGAATTCTTTCCAGAAGGTTCTCCATCTGTCCATGGGTATGTCGCCAAATGGGGCAACCCGGCCTTCTCTTGCCATTTCATGGCACCCTAAAACTGCTTTGCGGGGAGCTATCTCACCACACCTGTATATTTCGTAACAATATGTTTCCATCTTGAAAGAAAGGCTTGTCTTGAAATGAAGAGACCTCACCAAAGTGAATAAAGCACTGAATACTGGTAGTTTAATCTGAGTTTGAACACAAGTGAATGGGCTGACTGCATGGTTGATGTTCATGATTTTCCATTGTGCAACATGAATATGAGTCAGTTTCCCTTGGAAATTAAAATTAATATTAATACAGAGTTAAATTTTCACTTCTAATATCCACATTCATCTCAGAACATGGTTTTAACCTGTTTTGTGCCATTCACCCCCTTTCTCCATTGTTAGGATATCATCCCCCTTCCTTTCCAAAATTCAAAAAATGCATATGCGTTTGTTTAATTAATTTTTAATATGGTTTGTGAATTAAACAGCAAAAAGTATAGAAAATAGGGATAAATACTGAAAATTAATAAAAGTAGTTCTTTATGTTCAGAAATTAAAGCATTTAACAGCTAAATAAAAGGCTAACTGTATCCCCCCACCCCACACCACCCCTCCACAAAAGTTTTGAAATCCTTACCTCATTGAGAACTCCTGTCTTAGAAGCAATATTACATGAACTACTTCTGAAAATTAACATAAAAAATGAATTGTTTTAAAAAATAAAAGGTAAAATTTTGTCATTTGCTAATTTACTGCATTAAGATTTCTCAAACATTACGAGAACACTTTATTACATATGAATACATACATTAGAGTGACTTTCATTAGTTACATTCATGCTTGAGTGGATTTAGATCATTTGTTATTTATTTCCATAATTCTCTCTTAATAACACATAAGAAATGCTTAACAGGTGTTTGCATCTTCTACAAAAGTAATATTTGCACTACTCTGACAGAAAATTAATTAATTAATTATTATTAATATTATGGAAATACTTAATAAATTTATTCAAGTGTAAGTGAATTAAAGGTGAAATAATATGTAATAATATCAGATGTCACTGGAATAATTTTAAAAAACAGTACTTTTTTATAGGCTCAGACTTGAAAATTCTCTTTCCTTTTGACTCAGTAAATACTAAGACTTGTCTGCACAATAAATAACTCTTTACCACCTATAACAGCAGCACTAATGATTTGTAGCTCATCATTCGGCACACCAGCCCCTCTTTTTCATAACCCCTGAAATTTTATGTTACCCCTTGGGAATGCAAGCATTTAATGCAAAACCTTCATTTAGATCATGAGGTTTGTCTGTTAAGCATAAGCAATATTTGTCTTTTAATTCATTGTGCTGGAAAAAACCATTTAAAAGAAATAACTTTTCTTACTAAAGTCGAAAAAAAAATAAACTAATTTTGAAATGTTTTATATTTGTATTGTTATATCAATATTTTATCCACATGTAGCACTATTATGTAACTGGTTTAAATATTTTCTAGTTTCAATTGTATGCTTGCAATACTTTTTTTGATTATATGTATAATTCAAAATAATATATATATATGTATATAATTCAAAATAATTTATATATATGTTACCATGAAAAACCGAAATTGGAGAATGTCGACTTTCACCGGAGAATATCAACATTCACCAAATACGTCCGTGAAAGACCGAATATTTCACTACATTCTTGTATATTCGGACCCTCACCGGTGTATGTCGACAATCACAGATGTGTTCTGGTGAAAGTCGAAAAGAGAGGACGTAAAGTGCCATAATAGTTTAAGTTGTTGCAATAAATAAGATTTGAATCACATAATTTAGTAAGTTTTTTATTACTGTTATTTTATTTTCTCATTTAGAACGTACTGTATAATTAAGTAAATTTTTAACTTCTATTATTTTCTTTCCTCATTTTGAATGTGTTGTGTGTGTTTTAGGTTCTCATGTTCTTAAGTTCTTATTTCAAGTCTCAAGTGCATTTATTCGCGACTGAATTACGGAGAAGAAAATATAATATTGTTGTATGTTCAACATTCACCATTAGTACATGTTGAATGTCGACATTGACCGGTATAAGTCAGAAATAAGAGTATTTGGAAAATATTTCAGACATACACCAAGAGACTATGTGAATGTTGACATTCACCGGTGAAAGTCGACATTCTCCAGATTTTGGTGTTTCACCGTAACATATATATATATATATAATTCAAAATAATTTATAATAAGAAAACTTTCCATATACCATCTCCCAGGAACACAAATTTAAAACCATCAATGAAAATATTTTTTGCGTTTTAAATTAGAATTTTAAATAATCTCAACTATTGTTTAAAAATCTGCTAAGAAAAATCTTTAATTGCAAAAATACCAAAACCAAAAGTAAATTTTAAATATTGCCGCTTTATAATTTGCAGCTTTGGCGCAAGTCATAAACTTTTTAATTTAATATTTATTACTTTATTCTGAAAATATATATATATATGTCGTTTTGTGCATTTCCAATGAGTCTTTTCTACTTTCACTTTTGTAAATTTAAATAGATTCTGAAACTGAATTTTAGTTTATATAAATTGCAGAAATAGTAAAATAATTATTTAGAGAGAATAAAAAACAAGATTCAATTTTTAAAAGTTAAATATACCAGGGCTGTGGAGTCGGTAGGGAAAAGGACCGAATCTGACTCCTGGAATTTTAAAGACTCCAACTCCCTCATATATATGTAAACATATACACATGGGTTACAGCTTATTTTTTTAATATAAAAGAAGTAAAAGATACAGAAAAAGAATTGATACATAGCAAATTTTTATATGAATTAGCATTTATTATGAAATGGAAAAACTGGCATTAGTAATTTCTGAGAAACAGTTTAACTTCAGCAAGATCTTCTTTGTTAGAGGACCATAGATCCGATTTGATACACTTCACAACTGAGAAGAGCCTTTCCACATTGGCTTAAGTAGGAAGAAAAACTGTTGCTGTTAGGGCTACGTCCTTTAACTTTTCAGGATAAATTTTTCTAAGTTCTATTTGTTTCTATTTATCTAAGTTCTATTCTAGGATAATATTTCTAAGTTCTACAAACAAGATTTATACACGGCCTTTGAAGAAATAGAGAAACATGATTGCAAGAGTAATCATGTTTCTCTATTTCTTCAAAGGCCATGTATAAATCTTGTTTGTATTTTTTCATTTTTATATCTAAAGTCTCTTGGTTCTTTATTTTCATTCACTTTGCCTTAGCCTTTTCAATATTATCCAAATATTTCTCAAAATCTAATTCATCAGTGGAAGAGGATGATAAAGACTCAGTTGCAGTGTCTGCAGTTTGACTGTCCTGATTTGAATACTCTAGTTGTTCTGAGAATAAATTCATTCTTAATGAAAGTTCACAGATGGCTTTCTTTGCCTTTTTTAATTTATTCATCATCCAACAAAATTTGACTTTTTGGATCTACATATATTGAACCCAGCAAGATCATATTGTATAGGAAACCAGTTTCTCTTTTGTTCATTGAAGAAATGATTCCTTCTGTAATAAACCGTCCATTTCAGAAAGAACAAACATCACATTCTTCCATTCTTGCCTCCTGTTAATTCTTCTAAACATCGTTCCACAGTCTTTCTTTTGTTAGTGAAATATTAGGGTTATCTACATCTTCTAACATTCTCGCCTCCTGTTAATTCTTCAAATTGTAGCTTTCTTGTGGCTATATATGGCGTTGAAAGAAGAGTTTCCAATTCTGCAAGATCATTCCATAGTCTTTCTGTTAGTGAAACATTAGGGTTTTCTACATCTTCTAAAAAAGTTCTTAATTCTAAAAACCTCTTTATCATCAAATGTGTACTTCATTATCGCGTTGCTTGATCAATAATTGCTCCTTTTCCTGCTAGCTTCCTAAGAACGACATCAATTTTGGGATTTCTTGCTGCTACTGCTGCTTACCAATTTACAAATGAGATTTGTAACTAAATGAATCAGATTAATCAATAATGGCAAATACCACGTCCTTCCTGCTCCCTTATATTTATTTATTAATATGTCAGTAAAGTAGAAAATAACTATTTATTAATATATATCATTCATAAATCAAAATGTTCAGTTTGTCATTATTTTTTTTTTTTTTTTTTTTTCAGTTCACATTAATTTCATTTCAAATTCAAACTGTCCAACAAAAACTGGAGTCGGAGTCGACATGTCTTTAGCAACTCCAACGCCTTTTATCCAAAAATTTATCTGACTCCGACTACACAGCCCCAAAATTTACATCACCATAATAAATATCAAAGCAGAACACTTATTGCTGTTACATGCAGTAACTTATTTTAGAATTTTGAATGTGTAAGTTCAAGAGAGGAGAAAAATAATTTTAACCCTGCTGAGTGTTAATCTTTACCACGTTATTTAGTTTGAATGGAACTTCAGAAATGTCGCATTCCCTTTCTTCCTGTAAGATTTGGTGTATTGCAAGTTACATCAGGATAAATTATCAGGATAACGTTTTGAAAATGTGTATTCTCAGTAGGGTTGACCAGTTTCTTCTGTGGTAGAGAAAATCGGCTGAAAAAAATTTTAATTTGTGCATTGCATACATTAATATACTTGCATTTTATTTATGTATACTGCTATACTACTAATCAATTTAAAGAGCTTCATTGTATGTGTTATATTTAGTCTAGTTTGTATTCCTGTATCTGTAATAATCTTTGGTAATATTTGGAGCATATGTTTGTATTTTTATGTACTGACTATGAGATCTGTTTTCACATCTGTGAATTAGGATGGATTTTGAAATGAATTTCAGTTCATGGTAGCAGTAAAAACAGAGAATTTAAGTATTTATTCTGAAAGAACAGAATGCAAAACTGAATTAACTATCATAAAATTTAATTTACATTATCACTAATATAGTGCTTCAATGGAATATAGGATTTTTTAAGGAGAATTATTTAATTACTTTTCATTTTATTTTAGAAATTATTAAACATTTATTTTTAAATAAGTTGAATTGTCACTAGTAAATTTAACTCTTTTGCATTGAGAGAGGACTAAATCTCTTTTCCTGAAACATCGAAAACACCCGTGTATACGATTGCTTTTCCTTCCGCCATGACAATTTGAATACTACTGTGTTAACAATAACCTAATGAGCAACAGCTTCTTGGATGCTTTCGCCTTGTTTGAAGTTCCCCCTTGGGACGGAATTGCAACTTCGGGCCCCAATAGCTAAACATTGACAGTGAACAAAGAAAAAAAAAAGATACATTAAAATAACAGAATTACTTTTAGTCACTTGAAAAGAATGATTTAAATGTCATTTAACAGCTCCTGAAAGCAGTGAACAATGCAGTAACATAATGGAGGAAAGCACTAGGTAGGAAATTATTCAGACATTCGGACGATATCCCAGTGTCTGAATGCTCGGGCGTTTGGGCCGACTTCGATGTGAAAGAGTTAACTCTTTTAGCAGCTCCCTGGTGTCCTTTCAGTTTTTCTCTTTTTCTAATCTCCTATTTCCTTCCACTACCTTAAAAGAAGAGTGTTTGTTACAGAAGAGAAGCAATCCTGCTTAAGAAAAGTGTTATTTTGTAATAAAAATTCATCTTCAGTTTATTGCGTATTGCAGAGTTACCAACCCTGCTGGGAAAGCCGAGAGACTCCCCATTTTTCATCTCCTATCTTGGGTTTTTAATATGGTATCTCCAAATTTCATTATTTTTTATTTTTCTATGTTTACCTCTTGTTCATGTAGTTCTAGAAGAATTGTTAATCAATGCAATGAAGAAATTTTTATGGGAAGCTGTTAATAAAAAAGGAAACTTTGTCATCTTTTGTTCAAACTTGTATAAATTTCACCATTTTTTCAAGTGATTTTCAGCACAATTTTCCTGATTAATTTATGTTTGATCTAACTTGTTTTAATCTACTGTAAAGTTTTGCAACACATTTTATGAAGACTTAACTAATAGTTACCAGATAAGATTAACAGAACTTAAACACTGAGATAAGTCTTAGTGTTTAAGTTCTGCTTTAAATCTTTAAATGGTGTAGTACTAAGTTTATCTGCTCGATTACATATTATTGATATTATCATGTTAAAATGACTGACAAATAAAAACCTTATTTTCCTGCTTCAGTTTTCACCATTTTAAATGAATTGAATGAAATTAGCCCCCTCGCTCCCCCCCCCCACACAAAAAAAAATTTTAGTTGTAAATAAATTGATTATTATGCTTTATCTCAGAATTATGTTATAACTAGTTATCTGAATGATGTATTGTAAAGTGAACAAATTTTTCACTTTGAGCCCTTTTGAAGTAATTTCGGCATGCGATGTAAAAGCTCCTGGTTTTTCATACTATTTCAAAGTAGCATTCTAATATTATCTCTGTGTGAAATATATTGTAGCATGCAGAATATTAGTATTCCGTACGTAAAACCCTAGCCATGTTTAATAAATGGTTATTTTGAATTTATGAGTTAATAAAGGGTTATTCTGAAATTATAATTTCCAGAATAGCAATTTGATTGACAGATATTGTGGTGCAAACTTCAAATTGTTGATTTATGCCAAAATATTTTATGATTGGATATTTTAAATTAAAAGTTTTCCCTCCTTTGTTAATAGTACAGAAACTGAAAGAAACTTGTGAAGCTGTTGAATCTTTTTTATTATTCCATCCTGATGATAAAACGATGCTGTCTAATAAAAACTTCTATTCTAAACAAACTGAGGTGTCTCAAGAATGGTTCTCTCCTAGGAAGGTAAGTTCAAACTAGCCATTATACATTATACTAATAATCTGACAAGTTTATAATTAAATTTTCTCTTAACTTTTGATTTACTCTTTTGATTATTTTTGTACCAATCTAATCATTAAAAATGTTATTGATTTTTTTTTTATTTGATTTAGTTAAAGAAGTAAACAGTTATTAGCAGTTTTGAGACACTGGGAATGTGCAACATCTTTTACAAATGTTTTTTTTTTATATATATATATACTTTTATATTTCTGTTATTAGATTTCAATAAATTTATATTGTGCGTCCCTCCAAATAATGTGAATTTTTTTGCATTTAAAAGTGAAATTATCATGAAAATCCTTTTAAGATTTTCTGCGTTATTAATTTTTTTTAATATTTATAACTTTAATGAATGGTTTTTAGGACTGAAACTACATTTTTAGAGTTGTTTTTAAAATTTAGACCAAAATTTAATTTACTAAATTGGGAATTTCCTTGTAAAATTGAATTAAAAAGCAGAAGTTTACTGTTTTTTAAGTAATGTATTTCAATAAATATATCTAAGCTAACCTGATTTAAGGTTTGTTTATTTTTATAACTTAGTTTTAGTTTATATGTGATTTATATACATTTATATGATATAAAATAAAGGAACATAAGCATACAAATAGTAGTCATGTCTCAGAATCTAGGAAAAAGCAGTCATTGTGATTTTAAGTACTTGCAAAAAGATAGGTTAAGATGTAGCTGGGAAGCAATAAATATTTGGTGTAAAATCAGTAATGCAAAAACCTTGAGTTTGGTATAAATTTAATCAAGATCTCAATCAATTTCAAGGGCAAACAGATACAGGTCTCTCTCCATATGGAGCAAAGAAATCTGCAGGACTGTTGCTTGCATTGTTGCATTTTAAAGAAAAATTATAAAATAAATTTAGCTGTGGAATACAAAATTCTGACTGTATATGGTAATTCAATAATAAGTATATTTTTATATTAAAATCACATTATAATAGTTCAGCAATTTGGATCAGCCTTTATAAAGTTTTTAAAGAAAAGTGTATAATCTATTAATATGCTCTAGGTTGCCATGTTAAAACCACATTTAAATGTGACTAAAAACAGGAGCTTTGTTCTCTGCAGGGTTGCTATACATCTCAGAATCAAGGTCCAGATATAAGGTGAGTTGAAAGGAATATCTCTGTTGCAACACCATATAATGATGATTTCTGTTATTTCTTTGATTTTTAATGTTACTTTTAGGCTGGGGTTTGTTGATAGTTTTGGCATTGCCTCATTCAGTTATTGAGCTCCAAGGAGCAAGTTTGTATACTTCAAAGAGTATTTAACCAAAGATATGCTATATTTATATACTGGGTAGGAAAAAGATTGTAAATATTATTTTCATGCTCAATAGCTCTTACTTATAATTTCCTAAATGTTAAAACTAGTATATTGATTCAGAAGTCAAACAACAAAAATCAGCATTATATTTACAAAATTTTCACAGGACTAGTTTCGATGGTTTTACCGAACCACCATCTTCAGCTGCAAAACCGCAAATGAACAAGATAGGATAAAAAAGTATATTGAGTATATTGAGTTTCTGTGTTTCTATCTTCATTGTAAATCAGATAGTATACACATGTGAAGTATTTGTTTTGGTGGCATTTGATTTGTTTGTTCTGCACACATTCCACGTTAATAAAACTAGGGTTCTGGCAAGTTTCTTTATAACCAAATCTTTTGAAAATGGAACTGATTCATGGAGTTATCGATAGTAAGAAAATATTCTAATGAATTTGTTTCTATTTGGTTCTTGCATCATTAACAACTTTATATTTTGAGAAATAACTGCAGAAACTTGTCTGTTGATTTTTCTTGATAAGTTTTCCCCAAAAATTTGGAGGTTATGTATTATTTGCTGCAATTTACAGTATTACATTTTTTTTTTTTTTTTTTTTTTTTTTTTTGTAAAATTCATGTAATAGTTGTTTGATTTATCTTAAGTAAAAATAAAATGCAACTGTTTTATGAAGATAAAATAAAAAAAAAAAAAAAACAAGCATATAAGGTTACCTCCTGATGGTAAACTCTAGTCTGGGAGGTATTGTCATTTCTTAGCAAGAAATTAAATGCCATTCTTAACTTCTGTATTAATTAGCTGTAACTTTAGCTTGGGGAAGTTTTGTAAGCTAAATGACAGAAATTTTCTGTAGGACAAGATAGCATCAATGTGCTTTTCTGACAAATGGATTTTTGGAGTAACTTTGTGAAAACTAAGTTTTCCACGCTGCGTGTAAATTTCATCCAAAATGGGTTAACATTGATACTTCTGTAAAGAAACTGCCATTTGTAAATTTGTTTGTTAGCTTTAAACACTGAAAATTACAGATAAAATAGAAGGCTTATTCTACAGTCAAATTTTGCAAAAATGAATATAGATATATTTTACAATTTGCAGCGAACAATAGATACCCTCCTGATTTTCTGGAAAAACTTATGAAGGAAATCCATAGATCAGCTTCTGCTGTTTCTTCTTAAAAAGTAAATTTGTTACCTATGCAGATATCAAATAGAAGCAAATTCATTGGAATATTTCCTGACCATGCAATAATGAGATGCATCAATTACGTTTTCAAAAGATTTTATTATAAACTTGCCATAACCCTAACCCTATCTACCTTGAAATTATTAAGAACAGATGAATTGGATGCCACCATAACATATACTTCAGGTATGTATACTATGAAGATACAAATACAGTAACCCAGTATATCGGTTCAACAACTAGGAAATTATTTTTAAGAATTGCCAGGCATAAAACAAAAAAAGATATTTACAAACACCAGTACAACCAAAGTATCACATCTTCGGTTAAATATTCCTTGGAGCATTCAGAATGTGATAAAGATAAAATTAGAGAAATACTAGAAATTGCCACTGAAGTTTGTGTTGCAACAGAAACCTTCCTTTTAACCTATGTTTTATTTAGACATTAATTCTAACATGTACAGCAATCCTACAGAAAGTGTTGTATTGCAAATTTTAATTGTTACAATGTAATTTAACTGCTATTAAGGTTTTTTTTTTTTAAAACTGAAATTGTGATTAATGTAATGGCTATTTATTTTGGCAGTTAAAATCTTCAGTTGCTCTTATTTTTGGTGCTTAGATTTTCTCACAAAGAAGGAGGGTGCTGTTTTTCTGGAAGGAAGGGGGGTCGAATTACTTGGTCAGTTTCCCCAAACAGATTCTCTTGGAAAGTTGTGAATAGGATTTACAATGAGAAAGAGCAGTTTAAAGTATCCTTTGCTACAGAAGTCTTCAGTTACTGTGTGTGAAAAAAAGAGATAATTAGCATCTTCATTTCAGTTTTATTTAATGAAGGTTGCAAGTGCTGGATAAATGGAGTTTTCAAACGGAGGGCAATCGAGGGAATTCTTTCAGGCTGCAATTAAAGGGCAGGAATTAATAATCATGTTCACTATACTAAAACTATAAAATTCAGTTCAATAGCAATATCACAAATTAATTTTAAAATGAGCATATCCTTAGAATTTCCAATACGTAGTCTCGTGCGCTGGAGATAAGATTTTTTTTTTTTTTTTTTTTTTTTTGGTACAGTGTTGCCATTGCTCGCTTTGAAATCGTTTAGTTTTTTTTTATCAAGAATTCATTGAGTGTTACAAAATCTGAAATCAATAATAAAACAAATTTCAAATTCCAAATTTGATGGCTCTATGTACTGTTGTTTTATCACAATGCTAGAAACATACATACATTTATGCAGATTCTTCATTATTTAATTTCTTTAAATATAAGACAGAGTGATAATATATGGTGGCAATGATTTGAAAAGTGATACAGCCTTTTAAAGTTTTCAACGCAAAATGCCAAAACGAAATCAATAGTCCTTCAAGGCAAATTGCCCCTTTGGACTAAAAAGAATAAATTCATCCTGTTTGTCAAGCTAAATTTTTTGTTTATCTTTCAGCCTGTAGAATTTTGGTAGCTGGAGAAAACAAGATTTCTCCAATGCTTGTATGAAAGTAAAGATCAGTTTGGCCTTTTAAGCAAGAGGCAGAACCAGCTTGGTTTGCTGCGTGCTTGCCTGTGTAACTGCACTGGAGCCCTCTTTCGCAGGCGATGCACTCATTTGCGGATGGCCACTTTACAAAGCCCACGTCCTGGAGTAGGAGAGAGGAAAATTGAGGGAATAGTTTATACTTCATGCCTTGGCATCATTGCTTGAAGACGAGCAGACACATCAGTTAGCTTGATTACTGGTAGCTCGGGGGGGGGGTCTTGTGCAGACAACCCCCAGGGAATGCACTCATTTTCAGATTACTGCTTTGCAAAGCCAAGGTCCTGGAGTAGAAGAGAGGAAAATTGAAAAAGTAATAATACTTAATGCTTTTCATCATTGCTTGAAGTCAAGCAGACACATCAGTTAGCTTAATTGTCAGTTCACTCCTAGTACCTGATGATCTCATTCTTTCAATCCAGTGAAACTGTTGCCGTATGGGAAATGTGACTCCTAATCATGTCCACTTGAGCAGTGTCTTTCTATCTTTATGTTCTTGGTTCATTATGATTTTTCATTTATCTGTCTTCAGCTACTTCAGAATGATAGATATTCTGGCCTTTTCTCAGAGTCGTAGCTAGGGTTTTCAGTGTCCAGGGACAACTGAAGATTTCGCACCCCTTACTGCTTGCCAAGGATGGAAAACATTTAATTCTAAAATGTCGTAACATCAGTTTGGCGCCCCTTGGATTCTGTGCCCGGGGACAGTTGCCCCCCTCTAGCTACGCCTTTGCCTCTTCTATTATTTTGTCTTCAATAGTGGCCTGAGTGTAGTAAGAACTCGATTTCATCCAGTGTTTTTTTTTTTGGGTTCAACAAGAGTGGAAAATTTCTGTTGTCCTAAACTTGTATTTTGTGTAGATTGGTAAAGGATGATTTCATAAAGTTGATATTGTGTTCCTGCACTGTTGCTGCAGAAAAATCAAGACAGAGGGAGCACAGAACTTTAGAAAGTGCCTTGTGACTGATGGTTTAAGGAAGTCCTACTGTAAATAGTCTTTCTATACTTTTTTTTTTATGTATACTGTTGTTATTTGTCAGTTGTGGATAATTTTATTTCATCTCAATTAATTGGTAGAAATTTAAAATTTGAATTAAGAGAAAATGGATTATGCTTTAAAACTAATGTTTAAAAAAGGCGAATTCAATTAATTATAATTTTTTACATTAATTGATAATTATTTGTAAGATGTAGGCTAAGTATTGGAATGCTGTAGAAACAATTGAATATGTGAGATTTTAAAGGTTGTTATAATCCCAATGAAATTTAAATAATAAAAGAAAATCAAATAGTTATTTTAAGTAACAAAGAAAATATTCTGCAGTGATTAAAATAATCTGTACTCTTCTGTTATCAGGACCAGATTCAGTAACGTATATGTGTATACACACACATACATATGTAGGTACACTGAAAAAAAAAAAAAAAAAAAAAAAAAAGGGGGGGGACAGTTCTATATCTCCTGTTTTACTGGACTGATTGACAAAATTCAAAGTGCATTTTTCATGTCTCAGAAGCGTGATTTAGGATATGTATTAGATTTAATGCAGCATTGTTCTAATATATAGGTATTTTGACACAAAATCGGACTTTTCTGAAATGACATGCCATTTTTTTCCATGTTTTGATTCTAAGGTTCAAATTATGCCAAACTGCCAAATTGTGTAAAAATTGCACAAGTAGTTCTTAAAAAATTACCTCTAAAAATTTTAGCTCCTCAATGTTAATTGAATTTGATATATATTTATTAATATTTTTATTAAACTTACTTGATTCCTTCTTTAAGAATTCAAAATTTAGGCTTAATCCAAATACTATTCACACATTCTTTAAGATTTATTTTTAAAATGTGTATTTTTTATAAATTTTTCGAAAAAATTTTTTCTTATACCCTATAAAATTTTTAACATCATCTTAAAGTAGATGTATTTCTAGGCACACCTGCAAAAAATTAGGATTTTTTTTATTCCAAATTTCCTAAGATGTACGTGAATTTATATATTGGCATGCTTTGAAATTTGGCATATTTGTTACAAGCGATAATAATGCCCAATGTGGTTGTTAAATTTATTTGAAGGCAATGAACATGATCTTTTGTTCCGCTCGTGTAGAGTGAAATAAAATGAAAGGAAAATAGGTTGCTATAAATTAAGAAGTTCACCAAGTAGATTATTCTTGGTGCAAACTGAAAAAAATACGCCAAGATAAAGTTTTAAATTTCACTCCAAATTATGCAACATTTAATATCCAGGTGTAATTTGAGTCGTAGATGCTAAATTTGAAAAAAAATTGACATGTCATTTCAGAAAAAGTCCGATTTTGTGTTAAAATATCTATATTGGAACAATTCTTATATATAAATCTAATATATATCTTAAGTCACACTTTTGAGACATGAAAAACGTACTTTGAATTCCGTCAATTGGCCCAGTAGAATGGGAGATATAGAACTGTCCCTTTTCCTTTTTCTTTTCTTTTTTTTTTTTTTTGCAGTATACATATATATACATGAGCACTTACATCCGTACATACATGCATTTCTGAATCCATTTCCAATAACGGAAGAGTACTTAATAATCTTATTGACTCTTAAGGCTGTAATCAAATTTTGATAAATGATGCTTGGGAAAAAAAAAAAAATTTTGAAATATTATAACCATTAGATGTATGGGTGGTCTGGCTAGCTATCTTGTGATATTTTAGAAAGTAATTAGTGTGTTTAATGACAAGCATTGTATGTTTTAATTTTTTATTTATTTGGTCACTCCATTTATTTGAACCATTTGTCCAGTCAGTCCATTTGTTTGAACCATAGGTCTTTCAGAAACATGGAAATTGATTTACCTAAAGTATTGTTAATTATTTTTAAGAAATAAAAACACAACGCATGTAATGTGTGTACTAGCCACTGATTATTGTAGATGATTATTTGTAAATTATTTGGATACTGTTCTGTTATCGAGACTGGGTTGATAAAGGTATGTAGTATGGATTAATGTGTTCATGTATGCATGTATATATGTACATAGGTATGTATGTATGTGCGTACATACATTTATGAATCTGGTCCTGATAACAGAAGAGTACCATAATTTGGTTATTTGAAGAAATTAATTAAACTAATTGAATTTTTTATTTTATAAGGAACTGATTGATTGATCTGTATAAATATTTCTTCCTTAGTGTTTATGAGGTCATGAATTAATGGAAATGAACTTTTTGCTATTTTTAGAGAAAGTCATGAAACTGATTGAGTATTTAATTTATGTGATTTGAAGTAATGGCACGTTTAAGAGAGAGAGCAATCTTATTTAAGTACCAGTGAAGATTTATTTCTCTTTATTTTCAGGTTATCAATTTAATAAATTGGACTCTGGATTGAAATAATCGACTTTAAGGATATTTGTTTATTGATTTAATGTGGGTTTAGGTTAATCGTGTAGTTCCTCAACACAATATAAAAGTTTGCAGCTTTTCAAGTTTGATGCATTATTTCTTTATTTTGTCTGGCACCAGTTAATTTGTGTCAGACGTTATCACCCAAAAAATTTATAAAATGCACTTAAGTTGCTTATTCCATAGAAAATTGGCTTTGCAGAATGAAATTTTTATGGTTTATGCAATTACACACTGTATATTAATGATGCAGCCTCCTGTGTTTAGCAAAGGTTTACTGTATTCTTCAGATCTGACAAACAGGGCTGTAAATTTAATCAAATCATGCTTAGTACCATATATTATTTGTTCAGTAAATATGGCTGTGATATATCTTATCACATTTTGTATTGCCAGCAGTAAATTTGGCTCACTGATGAATCTGACTTCAATTCTTTCCCTGTTTTGGAAAAGGTTATCTGTGAACTCTTTCATAATGATTCCTGTGCTCAGACTAAAGCAGAAAGATTGATGATTATTTGGTTCACAGTATCATGGATGTCTTTGGGAGTACTGATTCTTCCTTGACAAGTAGTACATCATTGTCAAAAAGTATCAGTGTATTCTGGAGGTGCAAGTCCAACCACTTGTTCTGATGTTATTTTCTGAAAGAGGTGTCATGTATCAGGATGACTTGCACCATAGTGCATTGTGAAGTAATAGTCTCCAGAGCTGCTGTTTCAGTTTCATTGTTCAACATCACCAAATATTCAGAAATACTCATCTTTTGTGTGATTTTTATACTGTATTCTCTGTTTCCTTTTTTTAGATATTTAAAATGTAACTGAAAAGATAATTTTGATACTTTGCTTCTTTAATTTATTTACTTTATTAATTGTTCACAATGTGGTAGAATTTAAATTAGAAAAGTATAAAATGTTATGTATACCAAACTGATAATTTTCTAATTTTAATATAGTTTAATTTATTAGGAAGCTGTGGAATACATTAACCGATATAAGAAAGAAAAGGATTTTCTAAGGTTCATTGAAACTAATTTTCAGTTTGATGCTCAGGTATTTATTGTCTGTTTTAATTACTGTAAAAAATCTGAGTTTGTTAAGTATTTGTCTCTCAACCTTAAATGCATGTAAGTGGTAATAAATTATAATTCCCTTTAGAATTGCAAGATTAAACTGAAGCATATTACTGTATAATTGTATGTAAAAGGATTTGCAGGATGGGAGGAATGAAGGAAAGGATAGTGCATTAATTTAACTGTGTGCATTAAGTTAGTAATTGATTCAGTTAATAATGCTAAACTAATGCATGTTAAAATATTGTTGCGTGCGTACAGGTTCGTTATAAAATGAATGCACAAGTCCGATGAAAAATGAACAAAAATTTATTATTATCACAACAAAAATGCTTAAATTTTCTCAAATTATCATGCAGTATTACAATATCTCACAGTAGTTATCTTTTAACTACTCAAATGTCCAATAGAACATAATTCAAAACAGCTAAAGAACGCTAATCCGCGAATTCGCTACAATCAACAAGAGCAGTTTTCTAAACAACAACAAACTAAGCAACTAACTACAAACTGAGATGTTTTCTTCCTTTTATAAGATTTTAAAATCACGCGCTAGAATTTTCCAGTACTTTCTTGAAATCAAAAAGAGATATTTATTTAATGCACGCGCTCTTGTATTTTCAATTTTCCGGCTTAGCTTTCTTTTAATATTCGTCACGCGCTGCACTGCGCGAGAAATAAAACCATTTAATTTATAATTGAACTAACATTAGCTTTTTAAATACCAAATTCGTAACAATATTAAATAATTTAGCATTAATTTAATTTGAACAAAATTGTGTGTTCAAATATTAATTATTTTAACATTAATTTTTAAGCATGTAAGAGGCTAATTTACATGTTCAGATATTTAGCTTGTTGAATTCCAGGGCTTTTCTTTGAGGTTTTCTGACAGAAGTGATTCAGTATATCTTACTTCCTATTATTTTAATTAGACGAATAATTTTGTATCTGGTAAGTTTGAATTTGAAGTTAATGATAAATTCAAGCTGATTGCCCTGTAGCCACATTGTAAAAATCTTCCATTTAATTTTTCATTTTCCATTTAATAAGTTAAAAATGTAGGGGATTCTTAACTTATCAATTAGCACAGTTAAAAAAAGGGGGAAGAGAGAGACTTAACTCACATTATGCTGAGACTTTTTTATGTAATAAAGATATTCTTTTAAGTGCATATCAATAATAAAACTCATAAAAATATTCATTTTTTTTAACTTTCAAATTCATTACTTAAATGTTTAAATGCTTTAAAATGCTGCAAGAAAGAATATTTTCTGTTTCCTGATGTATATTTTTGCATTGAAATTTGTCGCAGTAAGCCAGAGTCAGAAGTCAACAAAACCTTTAAAACTTTTGAGCTGTGAATTTATACTGAGGCGTATTATGGTCTGATATAGAAAAATTAGATCTGTATTTCTTTCAAAACTGGGGACTAAAGCAGGTGCAGTTTCAGCATATATTATTTATCTTTTGGATAGGCTATTTAATGTGTTTTTAATAATTGTTACCATAGCTCTTCCAGTATGTAATGTATCATTTCTAAATTTCTCATAGCTTTTATAATTGTGCATTTTAAAGGCACCCAAGGAATTTAAATATGTTTCATTACTACTAAATTGTCGCATAAATTGACTCGTCTGTGTTGTTTTGGGTGAGAAAATATCAAATTTGCTATATTTTGTCTTGGGGTGTCATTGGCATTAAAATAGATAATGTATTAAAAAAAGTTCTTTTCTCATTAGGAAAGCTGAAGTAGGATATGAACATCTGCTTCAAATTTTTCACTCAATGTTTTAACATATTTGAATTTCTTAATCATTCTTTGGGTTTCAGAATCAAATTTTTTTTTATTTTGCTATTAATTAAATTGTTTTCTTACCATTGGTGATATTTATTTCATCTGTGATTTGAACATCTCTTTTATCGTGGTCTTTCCTCTGTTTGCAGATACCAGTGTTGCAGATACTATTCTATCTTTTATTTTAAAAAATTAAATAAAATAAAATAAATTCTGGCATTTTTTCTGATTTTAGTAAATAATTTTTTAATGGTTTTCTTTATAAATCTTGTTTTATTTCAGAATAATTTTATAGATATTTTATTCATTCTTTGCAGGTTAACTTGGTGGTCACTTTTGCTTTAGAATAAACTGTATCCACTGAGGGCCTGTACATTTCATATTATAACGATGATGATATTATAACAAGATTATGCATTATTCCCATGCTGTTGACTGTGTTAGAATACTGCATGGATTTGAGGTTGGATCTTTAGATTTAAATGAGTACCATTCGGTACAAGAGACTTAAATGATTAAAGATAATATTCCCCCCTTTCATAACTCTTTGTACTAAAAAAAGAGGATATTAGTGACTTACCCATCTTGAAATTTAGTGAGGTGCTTCAGACAGAGAACAAATTTGTGTTCTTTAAATTTCTTCTGTCATTTCTTTTACAGAATGTTCGCTTAACCCATTAGCCACCCAAAGTATGAGGAATGACTTTTTTTTCTTATGCAGGTAATAAAAAGTATTAAATTAAATACTTATAACATAAATTTACACCGGAAAAAAAATGCTCTTACCTGTAGAAAAATCGAGTGTTGCGTTCATGCAGTGGAATAAGAATACGGTTGTTTAGTGAGTATGATTGTACTCATGCAAATTTTTCTTTAATTGGGCCCTGAATTACTTTTTAGCGGTATGATATCTTATAAATCTACAAATCACTTTACTTGTAATTAATTTAACATTAAAATTTATATTGTATTTCTTTTACGAGTACAGATTATTTTCAATTGAAAGATTCAAGCATGAAAAGCTTCACTATAATCATGATGTAAAGCTACATTACATAGTTTGCATCTATAAACAGTCTAGCTATGGCATTCTGTACAACGAAGTTTTCTTTTATCCTTGGACTTTATGATAAAATGTCTACCATCTCTGTGCAATGCTTTTGAATGCTGAATTTACTAGGTCTTCCTGTTGCTGATCTATTTCTGGCTATTTCTACACTCTCAATAGGAGTTTGTGAAAGGAATAATGAAATATCACATCTGAGATCTAAAAGAGACTTAGAAGTAGTAGAAAGTCTTGATATTTTCCATGCATCAATGTAATACAAGTATATATCAATGTAATTAGTAACTATTGGCCTCCACCATTTTTTTCCCATGAATTCTTATTCTGTAATTGGCTACTAAATTGTCGCATAAATTGACTCCTCCCATTTTATATGAAGAGATACGAAAACCTTTTTCTTTTATGTTCTTGAATAACGGGAAATACTTTTTACAGGCTGAATTTTTCCAAATGTTGAACCAACAGTTACAACCAAATTGTCTTTCCATCAAACAAAAATTATTTTATTTTTCTCTTCATGCTGGAAATCATAACCCCTGTCTTTCTTAGAAACACATTTCACCATTTCTAGTAAGCACATTTGTAAGCAGTTTCCTTGACTTGTTTTTGTAACACCAAAACCTTGACTTTTTAGATGACAGAGAAGATGAAATGATGTAAAAAAGTAATCAGAGTAAATAGCAAGATTGTCGGGAGTTTCAACAACAGTGAGCAAGTTTATCACCATACTTCCACCAAAACCAAATTCTTCATATTTTGGTCATTTTGGAGCTGTCGACTAACTTGAATAAATATCAAAGTACAATATCAGTTTCATTCTTGTCATTATCATCATCTGTTTCTTCATCAAAAAATCTTTGAAGGGCTTATTTTAATGTAAGGAACCTCGTTCTAGGCGTTTTTAAAACATGGAATGAATATCAACCAAAGCATCTAAAGGCATGGGTTAAAAAAAGGAGTAAGTTACTAATTAGCGGGAAAGTAGCTTATTCCTGCTAATGTTGCATCAGCGCAACACTTGTTTTCCCTTCCTCCCCACACAAATACAAACAGTTGATTGATGGAATGTTCTGATAAGCAGTGACCTTGGCTAAAAATAGATCCCCCCCCCCAAAGAAGACGATTCTTCATTACATTTTTCAGCAAAAATATCTGGTTTGAAATTTTGCTTCAAGTACGAGACTAATTATTATGAACAAAATTATTGCTCAATACAAATATTTTTTTACAGAAATAGTCTTCATAATATGTCTTACACAAAATCATCTGCTAGCATAAAATAGCTGTGGTAGTTATATTTTTATTCACATTTATTTTGACCATTGCATCAATCCAACACCAGCAGTGGCTAATAAGTTAAGAGCTTTTCATGTATTGCTTATATTTTTTACCTTTTTTCAAATTCATTTGTTTCAAATGGTATTTTTTCTTGATGATACCTAAAGCTTCCTGCTATCTATTGTCAAATATAGCCTAATGATTAATGTTATCTTCAATTAACTCCATGTCTGGTCTAGAATACTATTTGCTGTTAGGCAGCTCAAGAAGATGGTTCTGTATTTAAACCATCGAAACTAGTCCTGCAAAATTTATGAAAATTATGCTGATTCTTGTTATTTAACTTCTCCAATAATCATTATTCGGAGTGTTATTTTAATCTAAAACATTGATACTGTCTATGAAGCAGTCGTAAGGGTAAATAAAGAGTAATATTAATTATGAATTAGTTCTATTATAATGAAATAAAGCATTTATGGGATTTTACTTGATCTTATAGAATCAGTTAGTCCTATAACTCCTTCAGAAGTAAAGCAAATTATCACTATATCTGAAAGTAATTAAAGAGTCAGGAAAGGGTTTAAATAAACTTCTTTTAATTAAACAGATCTTGGAACATAAATGCACATTTTGGTGCTAACAAAATCAGCCACAGCTCATGGTGATACAACTAAAGGAACTGTCGGTTTCAAGTTAAGATGGTAGTGAATGACTGCATAATTAAATTTTATTTTAAGCTGGCTGTCAAAATCGAGTGCTAGCAGTGATATAATGCAAAGTTGAGTAATTACAATTTATCAGAGCTGGAAAGAACTAAATGTAGTGTGCACACACAGGCTAGAAATATACTCTGTTTTAAAATTATAAAACCTCAGTTTAAATATAGTCAAAAGTCTTTAATCTGGACTCGTCGGGACTTATTCCGGATTATAGATCATCAGTTTAAATCTGGTAAGATGGCATGCAGAAATTATAAAATTAAAAATATGAAACCTAATTTAATGAAATAAGAGCAATTTGATCTAAATTGTATCAAAATTTACAAAAAAAAAATAAGCTTAATTTATTTGTTTATTTTATTAACATTTCTTTCAAGGTAAGTTTGTTTAAGTTGCTTCATTTTATGTGCTAATACTTTATCTTTAATTCTATAAACAGACATAATTTCTTAAAGAGAAAGTTTTTCTTAAAGAGACATAATTTCTTAACAATTCTATAAACAGACATAATTTCTTATTCAGTTACAAAGTTCCGCTGTTCAAGTCATATAATTGCTGTGTCGAGAATACCAACTAATTTGTCAATCGAATTTTTTTCGTTTTCAATAACCTCTGTGTCACTTTCTTCTCTATCGAAAGCGGTACATCGAAACAGGCTTTCGCTTTGTAGATGCTTTGGCAGCTCCAGAATTGGAAACTCTTTTTGACATAATCAAAAGTTCAAGCTTACCTTTTATAAAATTTCTCTAACAGTCTGCAAAAATTAATAAGCCAGATCCAATTAAAAGATTAAGGAAACAACGCAATCTGCAACATTAACTGAAATAGATAATTAGATAATTTTAGCCTAGCTTATACCGTCCGTTATACATTAAACGCGCATGCGAAAATGCATGCGTAGAACGGACTTTTGACTGTACTAGCTAACTCATTTATATTCTGGAGAGGAAATAAAAAGGCTGAAATTATAAATAACTGGTTAATTTAATCAGTAACCTTACACGTTTAAAAATATGCTAAAAGATTCAAGAACTGTGTTGGTTAACAGGCCAAATAGCGATAATTAACATGAGTATTTTAGCATATTTCTTTATTTTTTATTTCTACAGTCAAAAGTCGTTAATACGGACTCATCGGGACTTCAGCGATTCCGGATTATCGATTTTTACAGATTATAGATCTTCAGTTTAAATCTGGTGAGATGGCATGCAAAAATTATAAAATTAAAAATATGAAACCGTAATTTATGAAATAAAGAACAATTATGATCTAAAGGGTATCAAAATTACAAAAAAAAAAAAAAAAAAAAAAAAAGCTTAATATTTATTTGTTTACTTATTAAACATTTCTTTCAATGTAAGTTGTTTAAGTTGCTTCGTTTTATGTGATAATACTTTCTCTTTAATTCTATAAACAGACATAATTTCTTGTTCAGTTACAAAGTTCCGCTGTTCAAGTCCTATAATTTCGTGTCGAATACCGACTAATTTGTCAATCGAAATTTTTTGTTTTCAATAACCTCTGTCACTTTTTCACTATCGGAAGCGAATTATAATGACGAGGAATTTGATTTAAATCATATCAAAGACATGAGTACATCGAGATGAAATACTACATTTAGTAAGGAATTATAAGCCAAATAAAATAAAAACATCTGCCCTGAAGATAAGGATAGTGCTGACAGATCAACTTCCAATTCATTGCGCGCCGTCGTCGTCCCCCCCCCTGGCCACAGAGCAATTGAAATTGATAAACAGATTTTGGGAATGGTTATCATTTTTGCAGCAATTCCACTTTTGTTTTAATGGACTTTGAAACATACTTTCGCTTTGTAGATCCTTTACATATTAGTAAATATAATCGGAAATTCTATTTGACATAATCGAAAGTTCAAGCTTACTTTTATAAAATTGCTCTAACAGTCTGCAAAAAATAATAAGCCGGATCCAATTCGAAGATTAAGGAACAACACAATCTGCAACATTAACTGAAATTAGATAATTTTAGCTTAGCTATACCGTCCGTTATACATTAAACGCGCATGCGTAAACGTATTTTGTGCATGCGCAACGCTATGCGCAAATGTACGTCACAAAGCGTAAGCGCACGGTACAAGTCAATGCGATGCATGCGCAGAAAGTTTGTACCTTTGAGGTCCGGATTATAGATCATTCCGGATTATGGGTGTCCGAATTAACGACTTTTGACTGTATTTAAAATTCAATTTTTGCTGTACTAGCTGTTTAGCACCTTAACCTGTATGTGAAACTTAAGATGTATGAAAACTTTAACTCTCTTTAAAACTTTCACAAAATCTATTATACATAAGGAATATAAAACAAGGAAAATTTATCAGGTTCATATGTTATAATTTTTAATATGCTTCTTAATTATAATTGTTTGGGAGGAGGAAGGTATAAGTTTTAAAATCTTACTTACGTTTTTGCTTTCTTAGGTTTCCCTTTTGTCTCCCTTACCACCACCTGGATCCAAGACTCATATTACTGATAAACCTAAGCACGGTAAAAAAAGAAAGAAATTATCAGAGGTTGATTCTAAACAGTGGTTTGAAAAAGCTGGTATTATGTCATACCTGAATGAAAACAATTTGAATGGAACCAACAGAGTTGCTTTCACAAATCTTGCAAGTAAAGAAGAGTGCCAGCAGTTAATGGACTTGGCCCTGGTAATTTTATGTATTTATTATTATTTTTTTATTATTGATAATTCTTTTCTTAACACCCTTCCTTGCCGACAGAACTATTTAGCATAATAGTTAATCAATTATACTAACTTAATTATTTCAGATGAGTCAAGTTTTGCATTTAACCAAGAATGTCAAGTAATGACACATAGGTATTAAAATTGTCCAGAGTACTTTATAAAAGACAGCTGGTATTTTGTATTGCTAAAAATTGCATTTTCTGATCTAAAATAAACCAATTTTTCTACTGTCTCAAAACTGATGTTTTTTCACTGATTTTTTTCAGCTGGCAAAAGTAAGAAAGAATTGTGTAATTTTATTTTGAAAGAATTAATTAGAATATAATCATGCAATTTCAACTGTTTATTCAAGACTAGTTGTACAAGTTGCAAAAAATTAGCTTTATAGGTTAAGAAGCATCTTTATTTGAAACTTAATGTTTTGAAAGGATATAATTTCATATTAGTTTACTAAGAGGTGTTATATAACAAAAATAATTGTCCTCTAAAGGGTTACTAATTTGATTCATGTCTTAAATTAGAACCAATATGTCTAGAACTAACTAGAGATATTTTACAGGCATTTTAAGCACCTGAGATATGTTCAGGAAATAGGCTGTCCATCAGAAATGCAAATCAAAATTTCATCACAGAATTCTTTCTTAAGTGATACTTTGCCACAGAATTATGTTCAATAAGGTTTTGTTTATAATGTAAATCAATTTAATTTTACAACGGTTAGGTATGCTCGAGCTTCCAGTTGTATTGTATTGATTTGAATGTTACTGCTGTACATCATTGCAACATTGTTCTAGTGTAAAAATTTATGTCAAATATGTAAAAATGGTAGTATATTTTTACTATAGTTACATGTCTGGAATTTAATATATGCAAAAGAATACATATATCTAAATTCTTAAATTTTTTTAAAGAAATACAATGGTTTGAGTTTACTTTATTTCAGGTAAGAAGAATGTGCTACAGTTCCATGATCAATTTTTAGTTTTGCTCTTGGTCGCAAATAATATTTATTTTTGTAATTCACCATAGGTTTTTAATTATTATTTTTTAATATTATCATATACACATGTTTCCTTTAATTCTTAAAGCTAAAAGAAAGAGAGAAAATAAAAGAATACAGTATTTATTTCAATTGAAGTGTGAGTATGTATCTCATATTAAATCTTTTAATATTTTTCTATTTGCTCAGGAAGGAGGTGTGCATGGAGATGGGTATAATGGTAGAGAATCTCCCCATACAGAATTTGAAATGTTTGAGGGTTTAACTGTCGCCAGAGCTGCAACAGTATGTCATATTTTCAAACTAAATTTGCATTTGTTTTTTACTGTTTAAGTATCTGAATTCTGTCTTTAGTGCTATTTTTAATTTGTATGGTGTAAAATAATTCTGTTCATGTAAGGACTCTAAACAACGACTTGTTAGTGGAGGCGTTTTTTGAAAATAAAGAAAAACATTGAACATTTTCCTTAAATTGTGTCTTTTAAGGTATAGTTCGACTGTCTTCAACACAACATTGGCTGGCATTCTGCCAAAACACATAGAATTGTCCAAATGGGCATTAGTTATGTGCCTCAGAGTGAAAGGTCACATGAAAGTTCTCTCTCATTCAGAAAGAGAGAATTTATGTGGGCGAGAGAGGGAAAGTCTCTATGTCATCAGGTAATGCTGTCATCAATTGTCTTTTGCACACACCCCTCCCAGAAATAAATGCAAAGATTCACATTGGTTTGCAGCCTAGAAACCAAAAATATTGAATTTTTTATCATAATTTATAAATTTTTATGAACAATGCGTATTTCATCGCTTACATTAAAGAGAAGGTCACTAAAGGTCATGGAAGCGATTTTGGAGGGGGGTGTAGTAAAAAAAGGAAATCGATCAGTAGGTTTCCATCGCATTTACTTGAGATTTACCTAGATAGTAATTGATTTTAATGTGACATTTACAGTATTGTGGTCTTTCATGTAAGTGTTAGGGAAAGCTTGATTTTATCATTAAAATGACTTCAAATGGTAAAAACACGGCATTTCACAGAGGTACTAAGAATTGCTACATAAATGTCTTTACATTTTGTGACATGGAAGATGAGAATGCAGAACCTAGCATTCCCATCTCACAACCCATGAAAAGAGATAGCAACATTGCAGGAGTATCTCTGATGACGATAAAGAAAATTCGGTGAGAGCTAGAAACGGAAGAAGAGCCAGTTTTCAATTTCCCGAAAAAAAAGTCCAAAAAGGAAGTATCAGATAGGATTTGTTTAGATCATTGGTTTTCAGTGGGGGCGGTACCTCCCCCTAGGGGGCAGTGGAAGGATGCTGAGGGGCAATGAACTTGTTTTGGGTGGCAGGAGGCAGCGAGCATGTTTTGGCATTTGAACTTAATTTTAAAACTCTCCCAAAAATGTATTAAATTGATTATCTGATTTACACCATTTGTGCCAGCAATAAAACGAACTTACATGATGGCTTCCCTCATGCAATTCTAAGAATGGTGATACGAATCTGCAAAAATTCATCCTGACAAACAAAATAAAGGTCTGTCATTTTTCACGAACATCAGAGCCAAGTGTCTGAAAACACCGTCTGTCTCACGGTTACTAGCAACCTTATCAAAAAAGTGTGATGATTGTTTGATAGCCATTTCATAATATATCAAAATTAATTGCAAAATCGGAAAAGGTTATACCATGGGCGAAAAGTTGATACTGCCGGCTGTCAATGAAGTTTTAGAAATAGTTTTATACCATCTAGGCACATCCAGTGTTATAAAAAATGTCCTATTAAGCAATGATACAGTGCGACAACAAATTGATGACATGGTGGAAGATGTTGAAGCTTTGTTATGCAAACTTTTGATACCCACCGAATTTTCTCTTCGGGTTGGTGAATCAACCTTGCCAGATATTAATGAAATTTTACTGTTGGCTATGTCTGGTTTGTGAAGGAAGGAAAAAATTATTATTATATTGCACAAAATTTTATTGCAGGTACTAAAGATGAATCTATTTTTAATGCTGTTAAATATTATTTTCATAAGAAAAAGTGTTCCTCTTGAGAATATTATGTCTGTTCCCGTCAAAGGAGATCCTGCAGTGGTGGGTTATCATCATGGGTTCATAGTCTTTTTAAAGAAAGAGGTACTAAGTATTTTAGCCGTTCTCTGTGCGATTCATAGACAGCAATTGCAGAAAACATCAGTGACTGTTTGAAACAAAGCAATTTGTATGGAACTGCAACACAACTGGAGACATGGCAATGGACAAATTACTAAAAATTATAGGAGCTCTTGAAAATATAATGACAGAAAACTGGAAGAAGTACTGCACCCATGTAAGAAACATAGAAAATTACTAATGAAAAAAAGATGGTTTAATAAAAGATTTACACGAATCTTTAATTATTCCTTCTGATGAAGAGGATCAAAATGTGGATATGTATAGTGACTCCCGATACAGAATAATAAAAGTACAGAAGTAAGAAATTTCGTCTCTTACTCCCCAGTATGTTTAATACTGCATATAGTTTTTAGTGCAAAAATCAAGGTGATATAATAATTATTTATTATAATATAGGTATCGGAATTACTTAAATAACTATAATAATTATTTATCACTGTATAATTATTAATTAATTAAAAAGAATTTTTTCAGTATGTAATAATAGTATGTAATAATTGTAGCTCAAGATAAAATATTAATCAATTATAATGTACCATAATTTCCGAAAGAAAGGTCGCATCAGCGTAAATGCCTCACTCGAGAAAAATGGCGGGAAAAAAAATTAAATTACTCAGAAACACTACAATAGATTAAATTGTGCGTGAAATCGTCGTGGACCGTATAGATGCAAAATCTTGACCTTTATCCTGATAAATGACACATCACTTAAGAAAAATGCATGACATGGAGCTATAACTCAAAAATAAATTAAAGGTAAGAAATGTTGAAAATATATTTGCATTCACAAATATACTTATATTTACCCACTAAAGCAGTACATATTTGTCATACTCATACTATATTATAAAAAATATTGCAACAACGAGATATTAAATTTGGATGATGAAAGAGAATTTTTAATTTTACTTACAAAGGAATTACAGCAAACTGTATGTCAAATAAAGCCATCAAAATCTGATTCTTCACTATTTGAATTAAAACGATTTAATAAATGTCCAAGTCTTCCAGATCGTCACATTCATCCTCTTGGTTTACAGTCTCTTTATCTGAGGATATAATTTCAGCTTCTTTGAATGTGGCTATTATTGATGATGTTTTCAGTGATTTCCATGCACTTCCTACCCACTTTGCAACTTCTTCATAAGATGCTGTACGCATTTTGCTGCTTTTGGTGTACGTATGCAATCCTTCACTCATCCAACACTTCCACCTCTTTCGGACTTCAGCTTTCAAGGATTTATTATCTGACAAATCTAATGGTTGTAAGATTTTGTGTCAAACCACCAGGAATTATTGGTACGGTCATAGACAGTTTTTGACATCTGGTTTTCACTGACTCAAGTAAATGAGGACGCATGGAATCCATTATCAATAACCCTTTTGGTTGGAAAAAAGATCCCTTATGACACTGCCAAACATTTTGTAGCCACTCGTGCATGATTGTTTCGCACATCCATCCATTCTCGCTTGCACAAATAATTACGTCATTAGGAAAATTCCCTTCGAAATAGTTTTGCTTTTAAAGATAATCATCAGCTTTAGCTTGTCACTGCTTGCTGCACAAGCTAACACACATGTAAATGACGTTCTTTCATGCCCTGCCGTAAGCACAGATACAGTTTTTGCACCAATTTCATCAACAGTTCTGTTTGCAGGAGAGTTGAAAGCTAACAGGGTTTTATCCATATTTATTATCTGTGATGCAAGAAGTTTTTTTTTTGTCAATAATGTCTGCCATATATTTTAGAAAAGATGCCTTTATATCCTGCCAGTCCACTGGTAATTGTTGCCCGACTGTTGTTCTAGTACGCACAGAAATATATTTTCTTTTCATAAATCTGCTACACCAGCAAGGCCCTCCTTTGAAATCATTTGTGTTCATTTGTTTTGCCATTAATTTTGCTTGTAAGTGAATTTTTACAGTCGAAATTGCCATTCTCTTTCCTTTGTTGCTCCTTTATCCATTTTGCAAGATCGTCCTCTAGATTCGGCCACCTCACAGTTCCGCTTCTTTGGCCACTTCTTCTTTGCATTGTGGCTTATTTTTAAGCTGTTCTTTTTCAGTTCTCCAACTTCGAATGCATCTCTCGTCCACTTCAAACTCTCAAACTGTTGCTCTATTTCCAATTTATTCAGCACATTAAATTACATTAAGCTTAAAACCAGCAGTATAGCTTCTGTGCTGTTTAGGTGCCATTTTCAAAAATTTTCCGCTCCCTTCTTACTTAAAAACTATCCAACAAATACTTGCACCCAAACTGATGGGATCTGTATCTGGCAGAATGCCAAGAAAAATCAATTCAGTCTGAAAGGGAAATATGTCAGAATTCTTTATTGTAATGCAGGTGGTGTCCGCCTTTGAAAAAAATTGCAGTAGATTTACAGTGGAAAAGGCAGAGGTGGAAGAGGATGGGTCCTGGAAGATTCATCGAATGGCAGAGAAGAGAGACTATTCAAACTGATGAAAATGCTGATTTGAGAGAGAGAAGAATGTTATTGTTCTGAGATCCCCTTTAGAGAGTGAATAAGGCAGGTAGGTCCATTCAAGGGAAAGAATGTAAACAAAATAAAGTTCGCAGAAAGCGACTGAGTGGTCTTTTGTGTGGGAACAGCACCAATCTACGTACAGTAACAAGGTCATTCAAACTATGCACAATGATATAATAGGAATTTTTTTTTTTTTTTAATGAACCTAATCACCGCATGGGTAGAAATGCCAGACCCGCTGAAAATTTAAGTTTTAAACACATAAACATTGCGGCATTTCTTCTGGAAATTATGATAATTATATTAAGTATTTATTGTCTTATAATAAATTATAATATAATTAAATTATTTGAATTCATTGTAAACTAATATAATAATGAAAATTATCAATTGCATAATTATAAATACAATTATAATATAATAAAATTTACTTATTTTATTATAAAATATATATATACAGTGAAACTGTGCATAGATAGTGTGCGTAGTTAGCGTAACCAGAAACAAGATGTGTTTATTAGGGACTGTGTTTAATTGTTTATTCTTAAAGAGAATAGAAACAGATATTACAGCTAGTACATTTTGTAAGGAAGAATTCTTTGCATAGTGGAATATATCAGGTTCCAATTCTCAAAAACTAAACTTATACGTTATTTTCATGTTTCCAGATCTAATAGATTAACATAATAAATGCACTATAACAAAAATGCGACGGAAAAGTGCACCGTCAGCCAAGTTATGAAGTTACAAGTACAGAAAAAAAATTAATTTGGAAAACTCTTACACTTTTACGAATAAATAAATAAATAAATAAATACAATATAAAAAAACAGTTAATAATAAATGATGATCAGCATATCAGCCTAGATTACTCAAAAGTAATTTTATCTTCTTATGTCTGTGCCTTTTGAATGCCGTGGAAATAAACAGAGAAAAAATCCCTAAGACAGGATTCCAACCACCTTATTTTGAGAATAAATCAGTCCAAATGGCACATGCATGTTTGCACTTGTGGTTGTGGCTAAGGCAGTCGAACTATAACTGAATGATACTGATATGAAAATATAAGGGAGTTGTAATCAAACTTTGATAATTATTTCTACCTTACTTATTTAACATTACATGAATTGCATGTTATTTAAAGTATTTACATTTCTAAATTTTTACACCTTTTTACTATGGAAAAAAAATTGTATTCAAATAAATTTTTATGTAATGTGTAAAAATTACTTAATCAGTTAAAGAAGTAATTTGTTTGAAAAAGAACTTTGTGTTCATAACCATATCTATAGCCTTTTATATTTTATGAAAAGGCTATACTTTCTTATATATTTAAAATTAATTATACATTTTGCATAAATATTTTTATTAAAAATACAATGCAAAGTAAAATATATTACATTTGTAATATAAGCTGAAATTTGGTAGTTTTTGGAAAATGTATGCGATAAGGTTCAGTGTCCAATAGCAGAACTAAGTATTTTAGTATATTGTATATAAATTTAGATGCTTTAAATTTGTATATACAGAACAAAGTCCGTAATCCGGACGTCCATTATCCAGAATGATCTATAATCCAGACCTCAAAATCACAATTTTTTTTTTGTATGCTTTACGCATGTGCGCTTCTGATAGTGAAGAAAGTGACAGAGAGGTTATTGAAAACAAAAAAATTTCGATTGACAAGTTAGTCGGTATTCTTGACACAGCAATTACAGGACTTGAACTGTGGAACTTTGTAACTGAACAAGAAATTATGTCTGTTTATAGAATTGAAGAGAAAGTATTAGCACAAAAAACAAAGCAACTTAAACGACTTACATTGAAAGAAATGTTTAATAAAATAAACAAATAAATATCAGGCCTCTTTTTTTTTTTTTTTTTTTTTGTAAATTTTGATACTTTTAGATTATAATTGCTCTTATTTCATACGGTTTACGGTTTCATATTTTTAATTGTATAATTTCTGCATGCCATCTTACCATATTTAAATTGATGATCTATAATCCAAAAATATCCGAAGTCCCGATGAGTCCAGATTACGGACTTTGTACTGTATATATTCAAGTTTGGTCATGTCTTTGTCATTAATCATAGTCTGTAAAAACTAAAATTAATTTAATACACTTTGATGCAATAAAATATTCTTTTTTTATTTATACAGTTATCCCAACGTGGCATTCTAAATCCTTTAGCTGCTTTTCTGTTTTTAAACATCAGTGAGAAAGCTCGTCAAGCTGTGGAATTATTCTTTGATTTAGATACAGAACTCTTTTTTGCATACACTCATCTTGTATGCCGTACTGCCTTACCTGGTAAATGAGTGTTTTTCCCCTCTATATGCATATATTTAAATATGTGTCATATATAGATATACATATTTTTGGAGAAAGTATTTGTGAGATGTCTTGGACATCTTTTATGAAAAGGCCATTTCTTGACTGAAAGTTAGAAACATTCTGCATTGTTAGTGGCTATAAATAATGAAGTATAGAAAATGTTGATTAAAGTAAAAATTTTAAATGATGTTATCCAATTGTTATAATTTTTAAATTTCGTATATTCAGTGATTAACTGCCAAAAAGTCAGTTAAATATGTATTTAAAAAAAATAACCTTTCTTATGCATATTTCTTTCACCTTGTTGTGTCTATGAGCATTGTGTAATTTTAAATTTTGACACATCTTGGCAAAATTTTGTAAAATGCAGGCTGAAAATACAAACAAATTTGAAAAGTTCTGTTTCTGATGTTATCAGTTCTGTTATTAGAGATGTAACAAATTATAATACATGTATGTATGAAATATGTTGCTGAAGGTTTCTCATCAAAATTAATTCTTATTTACTGTATGATTATTTCATTCGTTTTTTGTGATTTTTTAAAAATTTATCTATATTTTCTAGCTTAACTGATTTTCAAGAAAGGTCCATTAACACTGTGCACTATACGCTAAACAACAATGATTTGATCAAAAAAGAAATCAAAACATGAATTTTCAAGATCTAAGCTTTACACAAAAATAAGCCTCAGATAAGATCATCAATCAAATAGATGCCAGACTTACTACCAAATGACCAATCAGAGTGCAAACAGAACACTATTGATAACAGACATAGTTATGACTAATTAAAAATCTTCATTATTCAGTGTATTGTGTTAGAGTGCTTCATGTACTTAAAGGAAATAGAGAAATATTTTCTGATTTATGCCTGCTGATTTTGTCATTTTCTGTGAGGTCCATCAATCTTAACAGGTTTTGTTGCCATTCTTGTCTCTTAAGTCTACAATTAACACTTGATTTAACAGTAGATGATTTAAAGAAAATAATATTTTGATCCCCATAAAAAAACCACGAGATTTGCACTATCTTCATCTGCTGAGAACTTGTTCCAGAAGAAATGTTCAGTAACTATATGGAGTAAATGACATCTAGTAAGGCTACTGTAAAGCTGTGACAGAACGCTAAAGATGTCAGCAAAATTAGTTACCATCTGAAATTTTTTCCGTTGCTAGCTTCCCATTTGTGGTCGAGCACTCCGTTTCACAGCTGAAAAGATTGCCATAAGTGTGCAAAACACAGAGCCCAAATATTGGTACCTCCGAAACTTCCAAGACAGGTTTTCATCAGTAAGTTGTTATTGCCAATTCTATGAAAAATGCAGCTGTAAATGAATGGGATCCACAATTATTCACTTTTGGGAAAAGAATGCAGAGCATGTACTTCGGTACCTCCAATAACTTTCAAGGTAGGTTTTTGACATTGGATGAAAGGATTTCATCTCTTGCAAGTTTGGTTTCTCATTTACTGTTTCCATTAATTGAATTATTAGTCTCAAATCAGGATCTTCCATTTTGCGATTTTCTCAGTTCTTTGTTGCTCCAGACAGAGATCAGTATCTCATATTATAGAGTTTGTGTTAATTAGTCTGAGCACTGAAACTTCAAAACTACCTTTTTCTTCAGCATTCAAACAGCATTTGCACTTTTCTGCCCAAGGTTTTCTTTAAAAAGTATCTACATTTTCACGCAAAACTATTTTACAATGTTGAATTTCTGTATCATATATCTGAAGCCATTGTATACATCTAGGAACATGACCATTTTTATTTTTTAAATTAAGTAGTCATCTTAATGAAGCATGGTACAGCTGTGAATGTAGTATAGTGATGGAAATGTTTTGCTACCTTAATGGTTAACAGTTCTTTTCTGTTACACATTAGTTTCTTTCCAATTTAGAGAGGCTTTTACTAAAATACCATCTAAAATTAAGGACTAACATACTCTTGGTCATCAAGTTTTTTGAAAGAACAACTCCATTCTCTATTGTTAGCATCAATAATCTGAATAAAGTAGGATTCAGACTGGGAATTAAGCTAGTAGAGAAGCAGAAATAAGAGCACCCTTCAATACTTTAAATGCTTTTTTACAGTTAATCCATTTATCAAAAATTTTGTAATGGCCAGTAAAGTGTTTTAGAAACCTTTAACGAATGCTCTATAATAAGTTCAGAGATGGAGAAAGATTCTCAAGTTATAAACTTCTTTAGCCATAAATAGCCTTGATTTTTGTCAGGATCTGTGCGTACACCTTTGGTAGAGATAATATGATCAAAATGTTTAAATCATTGGCAAAATAGTTTAAACTTTGTCAGATTAAATTCTAACCCTCTGACTGTCAGTAGACAACGTTAAAATAACAAAATTTGCTGATCTTGCAATTCTCTTCTCTTTGAGAGTTTAACCTTGCCATATAAAAAGGTGGATAAGAAGATACTAAAAAAGTTCTTCGAGGACGACTTAAAAAAATTAGTTTTCCGTTGGGATAAGTTTATTCAGTTAAATGGGCATTGTGTTGAAAACTGCATAAATAATATTTATGAAAATTGATCAAATAAAAAATTATACCTAAATTCCTAGAACTTTGGAAGCATTTCTTGTACATTAATTATTAATTTTATTTTTATCATGTTTTGATAAATTAAAACTTTCCTTCCCTACTCAGCATTGTTCAGGATAAAAGTATAAGAAAATTAATAAACAAAATTAGATGAACACGAAATTCAGAATATCAAATTTAATATTAATAGCATCAGAATATTATAGTTTAATGACTAAATCAGGCAATAAATATGTAAAGTGAATATAAGTAAGTTTGGAGCCTTTTGAAATAGTGTTGCCATGCATTTCAAAAAGCCCCTAGAAACTCATGGCATTTTGACACAAGAACCTCTCAATTTTTCATATTTCAAGGTTGGCAGATGTACTGTTTAGTGAAAGGGAGAACTGCATGCAGAAGGCTTTGTCCATTTGCCAAGCTGCATCTGGTCTCAAAATAGTAATACAGTACAAAGTCCGAAATCTGGACATCCATTATCCAGAATGATCTAAAATCCGGATCTCAAAGCCACAAACATTATTTTATTAATGCTTTACACATGTGCATTTGATTTTTCCTTCCATAATAAAACATGTGGAGATTTTTCACTTAAAAATTTTGATTTTTAATTTCACTTAGCATTAAATAAAATACCTCGTTATGGAAAAACAATCATGTAAGCATAAATTTGTGAAATCTTCTTGGCAAAAATCTCAAACCAAAACTTTCACCTATTTTATATCCCTGAAGCCGACCTGGCGAGTCATTATTTATTATATTCTGTCATCACCACATGTTTATTAATACATGACAGCTTCAATAACCTGGGTTTGATCGCGCTGGGTGTCTCACACCCAGTGACTCCTATTTCGCACTTTTTCTTCCCAACCATTTTTCAAAAATGGACGAGTCTTCATGTAGCTGCCTCAAAGGTCATAACCTTGGAAGGGGAGAATCGGCGAAAGAATTCTAAAAATAGATCTCCTTAAATCGCGGGGCTTGGGTATCTCACACCCAGAGCGAGCATTTCTGTAACTGTTCTCACTACAGGCAGACGTATCTAAATCGTTCTTTCGTTATGGCGCGTTACCGCACTTATGACGAAGAAATGCGGTATTTGAAAAATTTACTGGATACTGTTTCTTCTGATGAAGAAAATATAGAGGAAGATAGTGATTTTTCAGGTAATGAAGAGCCAGATGACGAAGAATATTGTAGTGATCATGATTCTTCAACAGAAATTGAATCTGATTCTGAAAACGATGTTTCAGATTCAAGTGAAGATAATTATTTTATCGGAAGAGATAACATAACGAAGTGGAATAAAGAGAAATTCAAAGCTAATGTTAGAATTTCTGCGAAAAATATAATATCAAAACTCCCAGGAAATACACCCGTTTCAAAGAATGTAACTTCTCCTGTGGATGCTTGGAACCTCCTTATATCTTCTGATATGATAAAGAAGTTAGTGCATTGGACTAACAGTTTTATAGAATCGATTCGAGAGCGTTTTTCACGGGAAAGAGATGCAAAAGAAACTAATGAGGCTGAAATTAAAGCATTTATTGGATTGCTTTATCTCATTGGTTTGCATAAATCATCACATGTGTATATACGAGATCTTTGGGCAACAGACGGCACTGGAATAGAAATATTCCGTACAACCATGTCATCAACACGTTTTTTTATTTTTTATTGAGATGCATCCGATTTGATGATATACAAACTCGCCAGAGCAGAAAAGAATTAGACAAATTGGCCCCGATACGTGAATTCTTCTTCGAAAATTTTGTAGAAAACTGCCAAAAATCGTACAACGTTGGAGAGTACGTAACCATAGACGAGAAATTAGAATCTTTTAGAGGGCGATGTCCATTTCGCCAATACATGCCAAAGAAACCATCGAAGTATGGAATAAAAGTTTTTGCGCTCGTCGATTCGAGAGTGTTCTATACTTGGAAAATGGAAATATATGCCGGTAAACAGCCGAAAGGTCCATTTCAAGTAGATAATTCTCCCAGTAGTGTCGTAAAAAGATTGATGGAACCTCTGTATAATTCAGGAAGAAATCTAACAGTGGATAACTGGTACACTTCTTATCCACTTTCACAAGAACTTTTGAAAAAAAAAAATATAACAATTGTTGGAACATTGAGAAAAAATAAGAAAGAAATTCCTCCAATATTCTTGAGTACAAAAAAAAAAGGGACGTTTACTCTTCCATGTTTGGATTTCAGAAAGAAACGACTATTGTTTCGTATGTACCAAAGAAGAGTAAAAATGTTCTTCTTCTGCTCTCAACAATGCATAACGATAATGCAATAGACATCACTACTGGAGAATCAAAGAAACCCGAAATAATAACTTCTCTATATAACGAAAGGAGCTGTCGATGTCGTCGACGAAATGGCTGCGACATATTCAACAACTAAAAAAACA